CGGTCAGAATGGCCATCATAAACAGATCCACAAACAACAGGTGCTGGCGAGGCTGTGGAGAAAAGGGAACCGTAGTTCACTGTTGGTGGGAATGCAGACTGGTGCAGCCACTATGGAAAGCAGTGTGGAATTTCCTCAGAAAGCTGAAAATGGAACTGCCTTTTGATCCAGGGATTCCCCTGCTGGGACTATACCCTGAGAACACCAAAACGCCAATACAAAAGAACCTATGCACCCCAATGTTCATAGCAGCACAATTTACAATAGCCAAGTGTTGGAAGCAACCGAAATGCCCATCAGTAGGTGATTGGATCAAAAAGTGATGGTACATATACACAATGGAATACTACGCAGCAGAAAGAAAAAACGAACTACTAAACTTCGTGACAGCATGGATGGAACTGGAGAGCATCATGCTAAGCGAAATAAGCCAGGGGGCGAAAAACAAATACCATATGCTCTCACCTATAAGTGGAACCTAACCAACAATACAAAGATGCAAGGAAAATAAGACCAGCAACACTGAAAGGAAAAGAAATCAACAGAGACAAGAGGGAAGGGGTGGGGGAAGGGAAAGGGAAGGGAAGAGGAAAGTCAAGGAACATATAGCAAGGACTCATGGACAAAACCAAAGGGGAAGAGCTGAGGGAGGGAAGAAGGGAGGGGCAAGGGAAAGAGGTGGGGGGGAGGCAGAGACAAATGTATTTAAAAAGTAAATAAATTTTAAAAAAAAAGAATCTATATGAAGTCTTATTTATTTATTTATTTATTTATTGGGAGTGAGCTACATAGTCCTGATTTTAACCTAGAAACTCTGAGCTTCAAGCTTCCCCCCAACCCCCCAGCCCTGTGGCTCTAGCTAACATATCAGTGCTGAACATGACAAATGTTTGTTATATCGGTGCCAATATAATCCCTCCTCCATCCCCTAGTCAATGTTTCCTAAGAAATCCCAGAGAGATGCTCTTTTCTTCTCTGGGTTCATGTGGAATGGAGGGGCCCCCATGATCCCCAGAGACAACTCATCATCCTTTTGGGAAGCCAAGCTGGTGAAGACCAGAATTTAAACCCACATCTCCCTCTCCACATATTCTCCCACTGGCCACAGGAAAATCCCCCGATGGCTGTAAATATAAGCTGACCTCTTTGTAACACCCTCACAAATATTTTCTCCCTCCTTCCCACCTTTCTTACCAATTCCTCCTCATCCTTCTAGGCCCATCTCAAGGGCCATGGGCTCCCATTAGCCTTCCCTGACTTCATATCTCCAGTAAAAAGACATAGTGAATGGAGCAGGATATGCAATGGTTTCATTGGTTGCAAACTTGTAGGGGCACAGACCCATCTCCTTGCTGAGGCTACTGGGCTCATCCAACACCTGGACTGTTTTGAAAAATCAGCATTTGTTGAAACTAATTTTTAAAAATTAAAGACTGCTCTCATATTTAGACCAAGTTTTCTCTCATTTAAGTTCTCATTTATTTTCTTCTGAACGTTAGAAGAAAAAAAACCTTTTTAATGGAAATTTTAAAACATACCAAAAGTGGAATCTCATTCCTTCCCATCAGTCAACTTCAATAATTTTTAACATTTTCCAGTCTTAGTTCATCTAGTCTTTGCCCTTAAATGTTTTTTTAAATTGGAGTATTTAAGGGTAAATACAAAGTTTCACAGAAAGTTTTTTAAAAATGATGTTATTATCATACCTAAGAACATATATTTTGAAATTGTATGTACATAGTTATATATGTAGAAACAACATATTCTTTCATTTATGTGCATAGCAGAATTTGTTCCTGTGAAGCTTCCCATGATAAATTTTGAAGAAAAGTGGTCAGAGTTAAGGCATGAAATTATTTTTCTATTGGCTTCTGAAAGTCAGGAATCTTTTGTGAACTGAGACAGTGTTCAGCTGCTTCTGTGCACATGGAAATTTAGGAAGAGGAAGCAGGTCTACAGAGGATTTCTGGGAATCTGACTCTTTAGGGCTCTCGACTTCCCTAGACAAATCCTAGAATAAAGATGTACATTACTCAGATTAATTAAGCAATATGACAGTAGGAGTAAGAGCATACACTCTGGAATCCAGTTTCTTGGGCTTAAATGTTGGCTTTGCTTCTTGCTTCAGAACATCAGGCAAGTTATTCCACTGTTCTGTGCCTTAATTTCTTCATCTGTAAAACGAGAATAATAATAGTATGTACCTCATAGGGTTGTCTAGATGATTATATGAGCTTTTACATGTAAAGCTCTTAGAACAATGTTTGTCACATAATAAGCCTCAGTAGGCTTATTGTAATTATAATAAGCTGCTCAGTCTATCACTGCTGCCTTCCAGGTCCTTCCTTACCTTGAGTCCTAATATTGTGACAGCTTGTAGCCTAGGCCTTTTCCAGTGTAACTGAGCAAGCAGCTCTTTGGCCCCCACCATTCCTTATAGCAGTGAAATCAGTGCAGCCTCCCTCACATAGACTGGGGGTCTCCTCCAATGCCAAACAAAGTGTGCTGGTGCCTTATGTTTGGTGTTACCATCCTCCTCTCTCTCAGTATGGCTCTTGCTGGTAACTAGGCATTTTCCCATACTTCTCAGTGTAAGAGCTGCCCACATGCCTAGCTTTCAGGATTGGCTCTGCCTTGTTTCAAGTTCCTGGGCTTGTCCCCTCCCAGGGCCTGGATGCTAGCCTGAGCTCCCAACCCAGAGGTCTTCAAGACCATTGTCACAGAGCCAACATTGCTTCTCAGGTTTTCATGCCTACTCCAGCCCTCCCAATTCCTGCCCTTTCTGAGCTGTGTTGAGGTTAATTAGTTCTAGGTCCATATTCCATTCCTCCCCAAGCAGCCCTGCCAGGAAGAAAGCCCAGTCCAGGTCCAGAACATGCCACATGTAGACAGACAAGCCTTGAAAATGTGCTGCTATTAGAGTGCATGCATGGCAATTTGAACAAAATATTGCAGCCAAGCACAGAGTCAGATCTGGGGGTCAAAAGATGGATCTACACACCAATGGAGTCAGGAGGCCTGATGAGCTTAGATATGTGTCAGGAAGACTAGTCTCTAGGAGTCAACTAACACATACATCAGCAGAAAGTGGGAGGTCAGCTTGACTGTTAACAGACTTTATTTATCATTTTAAAGAGAGGTGATTGCATGCAAATTGGAAGGATACTGTATTTTCTGTGGAGGGCAAACCTGATCCAGCACAGCCCTCTTCTGACACATGGATTGCAAAGGACCTGTTTGTTCAGTCTGAGATCCTTGCTTGTTATAGCCCACCTCTTAATACTGTCTGGGTCAGGGAATGCAGAAGCCCCAACAAGGAGTCTGCACACCCACACATCTGAGTAACACCTCAAAATACAGGCTCAGAAATCAAGAAAACCACATGCGTATATCATCTGTTTAAATAAAATTACTGACGGATTCTACAGGGGTTATTAATAACTGAATGAAATGCAAAGAACTGCTATACTTCTGTGTGGACATAAATTTCCTTATAGCAGGTTTCCTTGAAGTCAGACAGAGCCTCTTCATATTAACACAGAGCCCTGTGTGTCTTCTCTCCTGGAGGAAGTGGTTACATGTTGCCGAGATGGGCCCTGGCTAGGGAACAATACTGAGGAGTGGGGAGCCCTCAGACCAGGTCATTACTACCAACCCCAGTGTGGCCTCTGGTAGTCATCCCTCTCTTGGGAGCTCATTTTTGTTAGCTTGGCAAGTGGAGGCTTGGAATGGATGTGCTGCCCAGCTCTGGACCTCTCTGATGGTGGCTGTCCAGGCCTCATGGGGATGTGGTAGTGGTCGTGCGGCAGGGGCAGGGGAAGGGGGTAGTGCACGGTGGGGCTGGTATGAAAGGAGAGGTGTGTGAATCAAGGGCAATGCCATTGTCCAGCTCTGGCTGCCCTGAATCAGTGGCAGCACCCCAACCCAGCACAGCACTTCCTGGGGTGCTTGGTAGAAGAGCTGAGAAGTTGCTAATACTTGCTCGAAGAGCTGTACCCAGATAACTGGACTACAGAAAAATACATGCATGTTGCTTTGCACTTGGTTAAAGCCCTTCCCACCACTATTTATTTCCATCTTCACTCTAGACTTATGAGTGAAGCAAACAGGACTTACTTTCTTCTTGCAAATGAGGAAGTGGATGATCAGGGAGTTTAAACAGCTTTTGCAAGGTTATACCATGTAAGCACAAGAACCGGATAAACACAGAGGTCTCCCCAGATTTCAGCCCTAATATCCATCTTTTTCCTGCACTGTCTCTTCATGGACTTGTGGTAGGGCAGCTCCTTAGAGAGGGGACTTGAAGCTGTTCCTGAGGTTACTAGGACCAGCACAGTGGCTGCAGCTTGAACATTTCTGGGCCCAGGGTATCCCTGGCTGGGGCATCTATCCTCACTCTTGCAAGGCCAGTCTTACACCTCTGTGTCCCTGGTCCCCTGTAAGCATAGCAGGGACCCACAGTCCCTGTCTGAACACCATCTGCATTTTCTCAGGGGCACTCAGGCAGAGTCCTACAATCAGCATGTTTTCAGTGTACCTCTTCTCTTTCCTGCCGCGTTTTCTCTCCCTCAGCCTGCAGAGGTTGCTGACCTCCAACCTTAGCCAGCACTGAATCTCCTTTGTCTGCTCCTGCTCTTAGCTGGAGGCTTCGGAATCCAGGTTCTAGAAGGCCTTGTCACATGTGGCCAGGGCCCTGCTCCTCGATTAATGATGCTAAGGCCCTGGGAGAACATGAGGGATTCTGAGGTATGGGGCTGGTGAGTAGGACACTTAGAGCTGACTCCTTGTCAATTCCCAGCCTCTGTAGAATGGAGAACATCATAGCTGTGTCAAGGATCTGGGAAATGGGGAAGTATTTGCCAATTGCATCCAGAACCAGAAACATCCCTTGCCCAAGGTGCCGTCCAGAGCCCTGAATATTGGGGTTAGATTATTGTACGAAACAGAAGTGAACCTAAGGAGCATAGAGGGTGGGGAAGAGATAGGTCATGGGCTATGCTCTAGAAGTAAGCCTTGTTAACTATACTCTTCTTCTCAAACTTTTGCCTGAGCTCAGAGACCAGAATTGACTGGATAGGGCTTTCCAAGGCTTTGGTTTTGGGTGACTGCTGAGGTTGTGAAGGGGTGAGTGAGCCAGAGACTGTAGGCACAGTCCAGGGGGCTACACCCATGCTGGGCGCCATTCTAGGTGGAGGAGGGGGAGCTGGGGCTCTGGGGACTGGGGGACTTCCTAGGCTGTTGTTGCAGTTCTCATTGGAAGGATCCTCTCTGAGCACAAACTTAGCAGCAGCCTTGGTCTTGTTGAACTTGAGCCACTTGATGTGGACAGCATGGGGTGCAGGGTTGGGCCGCTGGCGGAGCATGCGCCGCACTGGCAAAACCTTGTTGGACTTCTTGTTGCGCCAGAAGGTGGCAGTGGAAATGAGGACAGTTATGGCCACTATAATGGCCATGATGCCTGCCAGCACACCCACAGCCTTCATGGGGTTGTCTTTTGTCTGCATCAGGAAGGCGTCCATGGGGCTTTGGGACAGCATCTGAAAGAAAGAGCCACCCTTGTAGTCAGCTGTCCTGCCTGGTCCCTGGAGGACAGAGCAGGGATCATGAGCTCCCTTTAGCCTGATGGTTTTTAAACTTCCTGGCATCAGGCATTCCTGAGAATCTGATACGTACTATGGGATTCACCCCAGAAAAATGCACTCAGATAAAAAAATACAAGGCATGCAACTTACCAGAAAAAATGTATACAGAGAAAGCATGATGCAAACACCATCTTTTGGACTAAGACTGCCTTGTTAGCTGGACTCTGCCCTCCAGAAGGTAGGATATCATTTACCTTTGATTATGGGGTCCACATCTTCTCAAATCTAACAGGAACCCCTAAAATAATGACTTTCTTCCTGACACTGAGGTGAGAACTATGTATGAAGAGGGACACAAAAAACCCCAGAATTTACTTATCAAAAATTGTATATTTATTCTTACATGCTTAAACTTCAGTCACCTTCAGGACACTCTCCATTTGATGCAATACACCTATCGAGACTTTTTTGCACTGCTCAAAACAGTGTTTGAACTCATTGATTTTGATGTCTATTAGCGCTTCTGCCATTTTTTGCTTCACCTCTTCCACACTGGCAAAACATTTCCTTTTGAGGACTTTTTTCAATCAGGGAAACAAAATAAAAGTCACTCAGGGCAAGATTGGGTGAATAGGGAGGGTGAGGAATGGGGCTCATGACATTTTTGGTCAAAAACTGCTTTTCACTCAGCATGGTGTGGGCAGGTGCACTTGAAAATCGCCCATTATTAAATAGGCAAATGCACTGAAAGAGTCTCCAAAAAAAAATTCACTGAAGCCGAAAGCAGCTTCTCACAACAATGCCAGCTAGTATGCTGATACAGATGGGTTCTTAGAATACTCTCCTAGCAGGGGAAGCCTGTACTACAAGCGGCCAGCCCTCCAAAGGTACTTATGTTTTTTTGAGGGGGCCTCCCCTCATATAATGATTTCACTTCTGTCTTTCAATACCATGACAAGAAGGCATTATTATTCCCATTTTACATAAAAGGAAGAAGATCTTGGTAAAGTCCGACGTCACACCACTAAAGAGTACTGAAATTAGGATTTCAACCTAATTCCAAAGCCTGTGCATTGCACAGGAGCCTCTGTTAGCATGTGCATGTAATGGCACAGGAGCCTTTGTTAGTATGTGCATATGATGGCATGGGAGCCTGTGTTAGCATGTGCATGTGATGGCATGGGAGCCTGTGTTAGCCTGTGCATGTGATGGCACGGAGCCTGTGTTAGCATGTGCATGTGATGGCATGGGAGCCTGTTTTAGCATCAAGTGTCTTTTGGATGAAGGCTGGAGATGGTCTCTCCCTCCAGTCATGGTGCAGTGAGGCTTGAGCTGACCCTCCTCCCCACCTGGGCATCATACCCATACCCACCTCAGTGCCTATAACTTCAATCTTGAGTAAGGCCGTGGTGCTGAAGGATGGGGAGCCACGGTCCTTGGCCTGCACCTCCAGGGACCACGTGTAGTCTCTGTTGTGCGTGACATTATTCAGGGCATCCAAAGACTGGATGGAGTTCTTGAGCCGGATCTCCCCTGTGCGTGCATCGATGTCGAACACATTGGCTGGCTCTGCGTGGGTGATGGAATAGTCCACCAGGTTGTTGGGCTCCTCTGCATCCTGGTCTGTGGCCTGTGCACAGGGAAGGATGGACATGGCTGGGCTTCTAGGACAGTACTTGTGTACTTTGGCTAAACCAGGATGTCATATGGGTCTTGTTGGGTTGATTAGGAAAAGTCCTGATCTTATTGAATGGACAGGAGTTGGGACAGAAATTGAATGGGTGCCCTACTATTAGCCAGTGTCCATGCCAGGCCCTCCACATGTATTAGGTCATTCCATTCTCAGAACAACCCAAGCAGTAGGTATTGTTGAGAAACAAAAGCTTGGATACTGAGTGACTTGTCAAAGGATAGACCAGTAGAGGGAGAGGAGCTGAAAGTCAAGTCTGTTGGGTTTCAGAGTCCCTACTCTTTCACATTGGGAAGACAGTGTAGAGCAGTGGGAAAGGCATTGCTTAGAAAGCAGGCAGACCTGCTATGTGAACGAATGTAAACCAACACTTACCTTATCTGAGACTCTATCTTTTGTTTTGTAAAGTGGCAATTGTACTTCCTTTTCAGATGTTATTTCTGGATTGAGGTAGTGATGGGGCTATATAAAGTATCTTAAAAATCCTTGTCCAGAGTGAGAATCCAATATGTCTTATTTTAAAATAAATTCTTATGCTCAATGTCTCTTGTAGCTGCTAGAACAAGGTTATTAGGGGAGTTTCGCTGAAACTTACCTCAATTTTCAATGGGGTCCCCAACACCATAGTCTTCTCCTGTATGCTCTTTCCAAACTGGGGGTAGTGGTCATTGACATCCAGCAGAGTGACGAACACCTCCGCCAGGCTGTACCTGCCCTCCATGTCCTCCGCCTTCACATAGAAGTTGTACCTGGCAATGGCCTCGGCATCCAGGTTGGCCCAGGGCTGGGTGCAGATGATCCCAGTGGATGGGTGAATCAGGAAGCTGCCAGGCACAGACAGTACAGGCAGGGGTGTGCACAAGGACATGCACATGCACATGTGTGCACACACATGGACACATATGCCTACAGTAATGAGCTGCCTCCAGGAAGTGGCAATAATCCATTATGCAGCTCCTCTCAGGTATTCCAGATGCCCCTTTCCTCATCACTGCAGTCTGACTGAGGGAAGCATCTCTACCCAACTACCCACACATCCATCAACATTGAACTTAAGGACCTGAGTCACAGACCTTCCCTCTCCTCCCATGGTCTGCCCCTCCATGGCCCAGCACTGCTTGCCTGGCTCCTAAGGTCATGGGACCTAGCTCTAGGCCATCTGGATGACCCTTTCTCTCTCAGATCCCAGCACCTCACTGAGTGTGTCCCCAGTACCTCTGCCTCAGGCTCTCCACTGCTTCCTTCCACTCTTGTCCCATGCTATCTTTCGTGACCCAGGTCTTGTCCTCTTTAGGTTCCTCCCGACTTTGGCACAGATCCCATGCACCCACAGCCTCCCAAGTTCTGCCCAAGGTCCTGTCTGGGATTGAATCTACTTACAGGTCTGCCCCAGACCCATAGATGGAGTATTTGACTTCACCCCAGGGTCCTGTGTCTGGATCCACAGCCTAAAAAAGAGAAAGCTCCCAGTGCCACCAGCCTCTTTGTTGGGGCACACTGGCAGCTCATGTGTCAGAGGGCTGTTTTCAATGGCAAAACAAGGGATTTTGGGGTTTACCCAACTCTGGTAGAAACTGATCTGGAGGCTTGTCCTGGAGCCCTAGTTTTCTGCCCAGGAAATCTCAAGTAATAGAAGTACAGAAAGATATAGATCTGTACCCTTTGGAAAAGGAGGTGAGTCCTGTGCCCTGAGCTTGAAGTCCCCCTGATAGTCCTTTTAGGTGCTATTGTCTCCATCATAAAGAAAAAATAGAGGCTCCTTTAGGGCAGGTAACTTGTCCAAACACAAGCTAATGAACATGGGCAATTCAAGCTGGAACGAACCCAGGTTTGTCTGACTTTATAAAGTCCCCTTTGGTGGGGCTCCAAACCCAACCCTCAGTCCCTGGGCCAGTCCCCAACCCACTGTGACAGCCACCACGTTGGTGCCCCCTGATGCATTCTCGGGGATCTTGGCAATATAGTAGTGAGAGGTGAACTCAGGGACATTGTCGTTGGTGTCCAGGAGCTGGATCACTACATCTGCTGTGGAGCTGAACTTCTCTGGGGTGTTCACTTCAATGGCCAGGAGCTGAAGAAGAAAGGAAAACAAGGACTTGTCTGGGTGGCAATCACTTCCTGTCTCAGTCTTGGCCCAAGACTCACTTCAGTTTCCTGGACCCTGGCTCAGTTCCTAATCTGAGCTGCTATTCCTGCCACTACTTGCAGGGGCCACCTGCAAAGCATTACATCATTTCCCCCACCAACTTGCAATGCCAGCTTTCTCATAGTTTCCACCTGTATTTTGGCCAATTTCTTTTGTTCCACTGATTTGCATATTCCTTTTCAGTTCCAGTTTTAAAATTTATTGTGTTTTATGATATAGTTTAGTATTTTTAGAGCAAGTTTCTGACTGATTTTATTTTTTTTTTGAATTTTACTAACTATTATTATAGGTTTATTTCTCCAGATAAAAACCAATATAATTATGTCAAGTCCCCTCACCATCTCTGTGAAGAAAATTTTAGGTAAGACTTAACTGAGGCAGCATTGGATTCTTTATTAATGAGAATTTGCATTTTTAACAGGTTTTCCTTCTTTATATCCCTTTGTTAAATTTTTGCATTTTTTTTGGTCATTTAGATCTTGTCTATTTCTTTTTTTTTAATTAATTAATTTATTTTTTCAAATACATTTGCCTCTGCCTTCCCCCCACCACTTTCCCCTGCTCCCCTCCCTCCTCTTCCTCCCTCAATCCTTCCCCACTTTGGTTTTGTCCATGAGTCCTTGCTATATGTTCCTTGACTTTCCCCTTCCCTTCCTTTTCCCCGCCCCCACCCTTCCCTCTTGTCTCTGTTGGTTTCTTTTCCTTTCACTGTTGCTGGTCTTATTTTCCTTGCATCTTTGTATTATCTATTTCTTGATATAGTTATTCCTACAATTTTTTCTGAGTTGTTATTGTAAAAAAATCTTTTATTCTGTTGTTCCCATTGCTATTTTTTGTATGAGGAAAACAATAACATTTTGTGTATTAACTTTGTAACCAATCATGTTAACAACATTTCTATGTTTCTAACAGTTTTTCCATTTCTCTTAGCCTTTTCTAAGCAAACAATCCCTTCACCTAAAAATAATGATGAACTCATCTTTTCCTTTCTAATATTTATACCTCTTATTTCCTTTCTTTATCCAGGGATAATGTTATTCCAGGAAGAGCATTAAATAATAGTGGTTATAGCAGGCATCCCGGTTATAGCAGGCATCCCTGTTTTGTATCTGACTTCATAGAATGCTTTTAAAATTTAACTCTTAAAAACAAGCCCTGGCTGGTGTGTCTCAGTCAGTGGATTGAGCACTGGCCTGCAAACCAAAGGGTCACTGGTTTGATACTCTGTCAGGATACATGTCTGGGTTGCAGGCCAGGACCCCCATGGTGGTGTGAGAGCGGCAACCACACATTGATGCATCTCTCCTTCTCTTTATCCCTCCCTTCCCCTCTGTCTAAAAATACGTAAATAAAATCTGTAAAAGAAAAAGCATGTCTTTAAAAAAATATAAGAATGATGCTGGCTATGTGTGTATGATGTATAATTATAGCAATTTAGAGGAAGGGGGGTATAAGGGAACTAATGTAATGGAAAGAATAACAATTAAATTAAAAAATGTAAATAATAACAAAGTGTTTTTCCTTTTTATTTATATACTATTTATATGTTTGTTACTAGACATTGTTTATATGTTTATAATTTTAAATAATTATAAATACAAAGGAGTCCTTTCTTTTTACTTTCTAAAGTTTTTATCAGCATAGATGACAGATGTCAAATGTATATGAGAAAAACATTTATCTTGAGAAATAGTTTTCCTTTCTGCACCTATTAACATGGCACATTACATGGTAGTTTCCCTTTGAGCCCTCCTTGAAGTCCTGGGGATAGCTGTAGTTTGAAAGCTGGAGCTCGTGGAGGCTGTGGGGGCAGTGAGAGGGCTCCTGTGTTACTCTTCTTCCTCCTCTCTTGCTCCCCAAATTAGCAGCAGGGGCAGAGGGACTTAGAGAAAGAAAGAAGGACTAGGAGGGGCAGTGGTGACAAGGGACTCACTCCCTCAGGAATAAATCCAGGTGCTGATGTGAGCTCCTGGGACGCCCTCCCCCATTCAGGCAAGTGCAAGGTGTCACATACCTTGAACGTTAACACTTTGAACTTTTCAAAGTCAATGGCAGCTGAATTCTCCACGATGATTGTGACTTGGGCCTCATTCAGGACTGTCTGTGGGACCACTCGGAAGATGCCCCCAGGTCCCACCAGGCGCAGGTTAAATTTAGCATTGGCTCCCTGTGCAAAGTTTGGAGAGAGGAAATAAGGAAGATAAATGAGAATAGAAGCTCATATATAGTAGTGTTAAGCCTTCAAGTGCCCTTAGCCTTGGAAGGTAAGTATTTAGTTCTTTTTGTAGGTGAGGCAGTCAGCGAGCAGAACATAAAATAGACTATGAGGATTATGCAAGAGAATAAACACATAGACCTAGCCCTGTACTGGGCATAGGAGGCAGAATGACACACTCACAAATGCCTGTCTGGAGGGTCAGATGCAGAGGTGCTTTTGTTTGATTGACATTTACTTTTAAATTAATTGTGAATGTCTTTAGTTCAAGCAGTCTTTGATTAGACACTCTCCCGCTTCTCTCTCTGGATTACACCTTGTTTCATTCATTCTGTGACCTGCCAGGCCCCTATGACCTGAGCAGTGAAGGCCGATGCAGCCTCAGCTGTGGGACTTTGTCCCCATTGGATTTCCAGGAAGACAGGTGGAGAGCAGAGCCACATACCTGGTCTGAGTCATTGACAGTGATCTTGAGGCCCCGCAGGATCTCCCCCTGGGGTGGGTGCTCATACATGGACAGCTCGAATCTGTTCTGGGGTCCACTCTCTCCATAGAATGTAGGTGGATGGTTGTTGAGGTCCACGATTGTGATGGTGACAGGGACCATGGCCTGGGCAGCTGGGCTCCCTGCAGAGCTGACCTCAGTCACCTAAGATGGGGATAGGTGACTATGGTTGTGTGACAGGCTGAGTCCAAGATGGCTCCAATGATCCCCACCTCCTGGTATTCATTCTTGAGTCATCCCCTCTCCTTGAGTGTGGCCTGGCCTAGCAACTTGCTTTTAACAGAGAGAATATGCCAAAGGCGTGATGGGATCACACTTAGTGATTATATTACAAAAGATTATAACTACTGTCTTCTAGCAAACTCTCTTGCTGGCTTTGATGAAGCAAGCACCATGTTTCCAGGAACTAATGGTGACCTCTAGCCAACAGCCAGCAAGAACTGAGGCTCTGAGTCAATCAGCCTTCAAGGAACAAAATCCTGCCAACAACCATGTGAGCTCTGAAGGTGATCCTTCCTCAGTTGAGCTTTCAGTGAGAATGCAGTCCAGGCTGACGATTGAATGGCAGCCACATGAGAGACTTTGAAATTGAGGACTCAGCTAAGCTGAGCCTGGACTCCTGACCCACTGACCCTGCAAGATACAAGCATACACTTTTTAAGGCCACTAAGTTTGTGATAATATATTACAACATCCCTAGAAAACTAATACGGTGCTATTACTAATCCCATTTACCAGATAAGGTACGGAGGAGTGAGGCAGTCACCTGGAGTCACAGCTAGTGAGTAGCAGGTGAGTCTTATTCCTTAGTTACTGTTCTTTTTACCTCACTGCACTACTCCCTCTTTGTTTCCAGACATGGGTTCAAATCCTAGCTCTGCCATGCTCTGTCCTTGTGTCTCTTTGGCAAGGAAAGGTGGCAAGGAGGGGAGGTCTGGAGACACACAATGGATAACTTATACAGGCTGCAAAGCCAGGGTCAAGGGTCCTAAGCACCTCATGATCCATCTGCAAACATCATATGAGCCCCTCCAGGGACCTCCTTCCCCTTGTTCTATAAGCACATCTGGTCTTATGTATCTTAAAATTTTCCTCCCTGGTACCTGCTCTGTCACACCCTAGCTGCATCCTAACTCTCCTTTCTCAGAAGCTTACACTTCTCCGTTTCTAACTTCCCACTCTGCTTCTGCCCATGCTGCATGTGGCACTGCCATTTTTTCACTCGGCTAATGGGGCTGCTCTCTGCAGGTTCCCCTCGGCCTCTCTGGTGTCTCCTGTGCTGGTTCCTCCCTACTCCTCCCTTTATGTCTCAGGTGCCCCCTGAGCTGTGACCTTGGTCCATGGCTCTTCTCTCCTCACAGCCATCCTCTGGCTGACCTCATTCCCACCTAGCCTTTTTTAGCTACCTATATGTTTGTACTCTCTCCCCTAAATTCTAAACCTACATATCCAGGGTTTCAACTTTACTTCAACTTTACTGTCCCTGAAGCAACAAAATTCATCATGCCTGCCTTAGTCCATTTGCCTCCTCTCTGTTCCTGATGACACAGTACCACCATGCTCGTCCATTCCTCTCTTCTTCCCCATCCCTCACAGTCAGTCAATTGCCATGTTCTCTGTAGTCTCTCTCTCTCCTTCATATTTTGTCTTTTGTCCATTTCTGCCATTTCACCTCCCTCATGTCCCTGGGCCCTCTTCATCTATCACCTTGGTGGATGGCTCTGCCTCCCTGTTTCTCATCCATTTTCCTCCAAATCCGAGTCGGGACCAGTGTGCTCAAATGCCAGGCTGGTCTCATTGCCTTTGGTATTTCCCAGGGCCAGAGGTCAGGGAAGGCCAAGATAGAGGGAAGTTACCTGTACATGCATCTCATACACCTCTCTCCGGAGCTGGGCAGGGCTCTGTGTGACCATGATGGCTCCAGAAGTCTCATTAATTTCAAATGCTCCATCACTCCCTATCAGTGGAGAGATGTACACTGTAGTCCTGACTAGTGGCACAGAAGGTCACAGGGGAGTCATGTTAGGTACAATAACCATACATGCTCCTCATACATTACCTCGTTGAAGTCTCCTCTATAGAATGTCATTCTGTCATTTGTGTCTTGAAATGAGGAAACTGGGTCTCAGAGGGACTAAGTAACTCTGACCATGGTTACACAGTAAGTGCAGAGCTGGGACTTGAACTCACTTCCACCTGGCTCCCAGGTTCCATAGTACTTTGCTTCTCTTATGTGTAGTATGTGTGTGTGTGTGCGTGCATGCATGATGGAAAGAGAAAGGGAGAATGGAAGAGAAACAGAGGGAAAGAGGTTAGAAAAGAGGAGAGTAAAGGTGAGAAGAGAAGGGAGGGAGGGCAAAAAAGAGGAGAGAGTGAAAGAAAAGAGACTGGAGGAGAAGGAGAAGAGGAAGACAAACAGTCAAAAAGGGAGGAGAGGAAAGGAGGTCATGGGTACCTGGCAATTTGTAAAGGTCTGAAGTGGTGGAGGGGAGGAAAGGCAGTCAAGGGCCCGCGTGCCTGGGAAAAGGAGCCTCTGTGTGATGGTGGTCATGTTCATCCATGCATGAGCTGCTGGAAGGGTAGTGTGCACCTGGCACATCCTAGGGGCAGGGTTGGAGGAGGGAATAGTGCCTGGGTGAGAGCATGTAGACATATGGATGGTGGGAACAGGCAGTAGGTGTTAGGGCCTTACTGAGGGGCCTAGCCCCGTAGGGACCCGCTACTGAGGGCTAGGCCATCCCAGGGCTGGCCTCACCTACCCAGTTGCTGCCCAGTTGTGTAAAAAGTATGGACTTTGAGCCAGCAGATTTAGGTTCAAACCCAGTGGGAACTTGGAATGCATACTAATCTTCTCTGAGCTTCAGTTTTCTCATTCATATATAGGACTAGTATTAAGGAAGTATCATATCATCATTGTATTTTATTAACTAATTTAAGTAGGCATTCTGAGACAAAAATTTTAAAAGAATTAGGAAAAAACATAGAAATTTAAAGAGTGTAAGAAATGTTGCCATTCTTGTTGATGAGCATATGCCCAGAGCAAAGGAAACATGAATCTGCCCACTCAGTGTGTCTCTCCTTGTGACTGGACCTAATGATAAGCTGGGAACAGAGGACGTGCCCATGGAGACTTGGCTCTTACTGGAGGGACCCAGCTTTTCCTCTCCATATATTCTGTGTTTCTGGCCCAAAATACAATGAACTGAGACTCAAAGAGGTTGGGGAACCTTGCTCTGGTTGTCCAGGGAATCAGAGCTGCTATCCAGGGATGGCCTATCCACAAAGGTGCCCCAGACTCACCATTCAGGAGGCTATAGAGAATGCGGTTGGGTTTGCCCCGATCTCCATCCATGGCGACCACTGTCAGTACCTCCGAGCCCTAGGGAGCATAGGAGCAGCTGCTTGAGGCTCACGTGTGATGCTAGGGTTCTTCCCTACCCAGACACAGCCCCGTCGTGGAGGGGAGATGCTGCTCCCACCCAAGAAAAGAGGCAGGTCTCTGTGTGGCCCCACCCCTTCTCTTCAGGAACTTGAAGAACCTACTAGCCTACTAGGGCTGGAGAGTCAGCCTGAGACCCACTGCTTCCTCATGTGCAAGGGTAGGCATGTAAACTGCCCATGGACTCTTAGGCCACACACCTCTAATTTTATGTCTTTCCCCACACATTAGACTCAGCCCTCAGCTCTACTCTCTCTGACGCCAGCCTCACGTCCTCTGCCTCACCCATTTTTTGCTCTCAGAGGTGTACAGGAGAGGCAAGACACTGACAGGAGAAGAACCAGCACAGAGGGCATCCAATGCAGTGTATAGGAATTGGGATGGCCCTGGAGTGTTGTTTGAAGGATTTGGACAGAGGTGCCACAATTAGACGAGTCTTGCTTGACCTTGGCCTGCCACCTCCTTCTAAACTCCTTCCTCAGGCCCTTCGCCCTGGTCTGTTCATACTCTCGGCTGCTTCTGGGCTGATTGAGCACTACTTCCTCTCCCCTCAGCAACTCTCTCCAGATTTAGCTCCTCAGCAGGACAGAGGAGCTAAATCCCATAACCCTCCCAGGGAAGCCGGCATTTCTCTCTCTCTCTCTGCTATCTACACCACTTGGCTGCCAGCTCCTGGAAAGATGGTATTTAGTTTGGGCCCAGCAAGTGAATGGTCCTCAGTAAATGCTTTTCATTGTCATACAGAGTCAAGAATAATTAAAAACTGGGGAAGTGAAAATTGAGAAAACAATTCAATTCTACAGAGTTCTTGAGCCCTGTGAAGTCTAGCTCCAGCCATGACTTTCCTCACAGGGAGCTCATGGTCTGGCTGGGGGATCCTATGGGTGCATACCAAGGAGGGGCAGACAGGTATGCTCATGGGGGGTTGTACATAGTGTGGGAACAGAGAGGGGGAATCTCCCATCGCAATGAAGGATATCAAGGGAAGCGGTGCCAGGGCTGAACTGAGAAGGGCAAGGGTCATCAGGTCATGGGCACATGTCAGGCAGAGGGATGAAGACAGAGTGGTGAGATGGGCAGAAGTGGGTGGAGAATGGTGAAAGCTCATGGTTAGAGGGGCAGCTGACCCTTAGGTGCTAGGCTGGGTCCTTACCGGAGAGGCTAAAAGACAAGGGCAGTGACCCAAGCACTGGGAGCAGAGGCTGCACTGAGGGGAGACAGCTGAGGTCGACCTTTGAGCTGGGCCTCTCTGTGATATCCAGCAAGGGTTATGGTGGTTCAGCAGCAAATTACAGAAGCAAACTGCAGCTCTGAGGGTCTCCAGGCTATAGGGGCTGGGGAGGCACAGAGGCACCTCATCTCCTGTATAGGTGTAGAAAAGGCCCCACCTAAACCAAGGCTCTCAACTACCTTCCAACTTCTCGTCTCAGTCCTCCTGAAGGGATGACCTTTGCAGTTGGTCTGGGTTGAGTTTGAATGAGGGGAGAAATGGCCGGCACATCCTTGGCACCCCGTATATGAGCACTTACTTCCTCCCCTTCATGATTTCAGAGGCTAAAAGACCTGTTGACCTGAGCTTGAGTGAGTCACCAGCCAGCCTCTGTGTGGGGAGGGTGGCCCAGGGCTGAGTTCAGCCATGCCCAGCAGGGGGATCCCGAGGCAGCTTGAAGGACAGGACAGGAAGTGCCAGGAGAGGACACTGGGCTGAGGGGCAAGTCACCTACCAGAATGGTGTCCTCGTATACATAGCCATAGTAGGGTGTACCCACAAAGACAGGAGCCATGTCCTGCACGTCCTCCACATTGACTGTGACTGTGGTGGTGGCCGAGAACACCACGTCAGCTCCTTGCAGCCTCCCTCCGCCATCCTGGGAAGAATCAGGGAGTAAAGGGAGGTTGGGCTCTGAAGTTGAACAAACTTCAGTGAAATCTGGCTCCTGTCACTTTCATGAAGCAGCTGCTCTCTCTGAGTTCTATTTGCTCCTCTGTCACCTGAGATAATTCTCCCCTCATAGGAGTGTTGGAACATGAAATGAGACGATGCATAAATGTCTTTAGTCAGTGTCTTGCATGCGATAGAGACTCAGAAATGTTCTTTTGGAAATAGGGTTAGTTCATTGCCCAGGGAAATCATGCTGGACAAGTGTTTGAGGAGGGGGGTCCAAGCCAATTCCCCTCCCAGCCAGGAACCAAACCTCAACACCTGCTGAGGACTTACTAGAGTATGACTTGGCTGTGCGCAGCATGTAGAATGGAGCAGTCACTGAGCCCAGCCCTCATAGAATAACTGCAGGTTTGGCCAGCTTGAGTCCCCTTGCACAGCCTGGACCATATGGCCTGTAGCCAGCATGTAACCAGCAAGGGCATTCCTGGAAAATTAAATGCTGGGCCTAATAGGTGGGATTTTTTTCCCTCAGCAGGAGCAGCAGCCACTCTGGCTTAACACTTACGGAGTTGCAGGTCCCACACTACACACTTTAGAAATATGAGGAACTTAGTTAAGTCTCGGGGGAGGGCTGATGAGGAAACTGTGGCTCAGAGAGGGTAACTGGTCACACAAAGAGACAGAGGTGGGGAGAACGAGCCTGGGCGGTGTGCAGAGGCTACGTTGTGGAGGATGTTCTGGGACATGAGTCTCTAGACCATGGCCACCTGGTCCTACAGAGTGGACCTGGCCAGTCAGTCCCTAGAAGGGAACATGACTTTAGCAGCCCAGAGTCACCAGTGACCCTGGAAAATATGTTCATGTCTGGGCAGGGTTCACTTAACAGAGATTGCAGCTGCACCCTACACCTACCTACCTCATCCCGATCATCTGCTCTCCAAACTGCCTCCACTCCAGTGTAGAATCTAACTGTTCCCATCCAAGGGCAGCTTCCTCTGACAAAGGCTGAGGAAAGACTGGGTGCTCCCCATCCCTTCTTATTACCTTGGCAACCACAGTGATGAAATGGGCCCGGGCCTTCTCATAGTCCAGGGTGGTCCCAGACCGGAGGCGAAGCACACCACTGTGGTGGTCCATGGCAAATTTGCTGGACTGCATATTCTGTAAGAGTGAGGGGCAAGCTTGGCCTTGGGGAGGGACCCAGGCCAACTCCAGAATGACTATTCTGCTTACAGAAAAGGGATCCTCACTGTCCTTGGTCACAGGAACTCTGGCCTTGGCACTGAAGTTCAAATTTCAGGGCACTCAGCCTTTCTGGCCTTCAAGATCTCCCTTGTTAGGGCTCTGGTTTTCCCCTCCCACTCCCTCTGTCAAAACCAAGAAGCTCCCTTCCACAGGGCCTTAGCTCTCCTCTCTGCTTATCTAGAAGACAGTTGTGTCCAGCTTTGGGCTAAACTCTGACCTGCAGTTTCCAGCAGGTAGAGATGTCAGCATAATTCTCTAACCTAGAAGGGGTGGGATCTTCACCCCCCTGCCAGTAAGTGACTGCGGGCCAGTCTTAGGCAGCATCTGAAGTGGGGGTTCAGGGAGTGGGAACAGGAGATGATCCACAACCAACAAAAGTGTCACTGTGTGTCAGAGGCTGTAATTGGAGCTTTATATGGGTTTAACCCTCATAGCAATCTGGTGAGGATGTGCTTTTTATCTTCTCCATTTGACACACAAGAGAACTGAGCTGGGAGAGTTAGATTATGTTTGAAGGCTCCATGAGTGGGAGGTGGTTAGATTTCTCTCGTACCTGTAGAGCCCAAGAGATTTCTGTACAACCTGCATTTTTAACCTCCAAGCTGTACTGCCTTGAAAACTGTAAGAGCAAGTGAGTAAATGTGGAGAGAAGAGAAAATGTTCTAGAAACAGCACCATGTTAAGAAGGGCAGACGGTTCCTGGGGAGCCTAGGGAGATAGAGGAGGTTCAACGAGGGGTCTTGCCTTTGACAGAGTGGGATGCATACATCCCACAGAGATGGGGTGGGGGACAGAGATGGGGTGGGGGAGTCATAGCTCTGCTCCCAAGAGCTGCTCCTTTTGTCCTTTTTCCTACAGACAATTCTAGGCACAGACAGCTTTATTCCATACTATGTGGGCGCAAAGTGCCCAGGCCTCCTCATGGAGAAGGGTTTGGGGGTAGAGAGCTGAGGGTCCTGGAGATCTGGGGAGAAGGAGCAGACCAACCCAGAGGGAGGCAGGGTAAACCAGTCAGGAAAAGACAGTTTCTACCCAGGCCTCTCTCATGTCCTCACCTATCTGTCTTACCCCTGCCTTTACTAAGAGCTCCTTGGGATCTGATGTGGCATCTCTGCCTCTCTTCTCCCCAGACAATCTCTGGGAAGAAGAGAGGCACCGACCTAAGGGCCTTGTTGATGGAGGCAGAGTCCGCTAAGTGTCCCCTCTAGCCCATGCCTCTGGTTACATCTTGTGTGTACTGCCTTACCTGTAGGAAGTAGGTGACACTCCCTCCAGACCCTGTGTCCTTGTCCACGGCATGAACCTTAAAGATACTGCTCCCAGCAGGTGTGTCCTGAGGGGTCATAGCCACAGGGGTCAGTCCTGAGGCACTGACAGAATGAATGCTCAAGGAACTGGGGGTATGGAGGGTCATGGAAAAGTATAGTTAGGGGAGTGAAGGGGTAAGAAAAGGTGAAAAGGTAGTGATTAACCCAGGGATCCCCCCACAGCGGGAAGGACAGTGACAGAGAAGACACATCAGAGTGAGTGTAGGAAAGAAGAGAAAGGGAGGAACAAACAGACATTCTCCCCTGAGGATGACCTCAAAGAGTGAGAAAAACCAAGACTTGGAATAGATAAACTGTTTAAATATGAGCTGAGAAAAGTGTTCACTAACATGAACATATTCAGCATCACCAGGAATCAAAGACATACAATTTAGAAGCAGAATGAAATATCTTTTTCTTACTGAATTAACAAACATTTAAATATTTGAAAATCCCCAGTGTTGGCGGTGTGTGGGGGGGGGCGGGGGGCAGGGACGGTGGGACGGGGAGACCAACCCTCCCCCACATCCTGGAGGAAAGAACACAACAGTGTTGTTCTGGAGAAGGAATAACACCTCAGAGCCATTCACACTTTCGACCTAGTAATTTTAAATCTTGGATTGTATCTTAAGGAAATAATTCTACTTAGAGAATGGGAACTTTTATGTTCAGAATTTAATGTCTCTTAAGACAGCAAAAATTTAAACAGTCTTAAATATCCAAACATAAGAGAACAGTTTCATAAATGATGGAATGTTCACTTAACAAAAGCTATTAAAATAATTATGCAAACTCTAAAATTTATAGGAGGAATGCTTACAAATTAATGAAAAAAATGTATACAGAAATCATATTTAGTGTAGTCCCAACTATGTAAAACAAACAGAAAATGAATCCAACCATCACAAAAATGACTAGAAAGAAATACATCAAAATTTAACAGTGCTGTTTCAACCTTGGGGGTTTGAGTGATCTTGAAACACTTTTCTTTTTCTACTTTTCTGTATATTTCACATTTCCACAATAAATGTATGTTATGATGTGGAAAAATGGTAAATGAACATCCCTTTGGAAGAAAAATAAACATGTGAGGGGATAGCAATGGAGGAGGGGAGAACAGGAAGGCGAGCTCCCCCTAGGGCAGTGAGTGATGGAGAGGTGCTCTGCACGCCAATGCCTGGTCCCCTTGGCCTGGCCCCAGGGCAGCCCCAGAAGGCAGGCCATGGGTCTAGCATGGGGATGCTTGGGCCCTCTCTAGTGGTCTCTCGCTCACCTCAGGAACCTGGACAACGTAAGGCTCCTGGATAAACCTGGGCATCTCATCATTGGCATCAGTCACCAGGATCGCAACTTTTTCTGTCACCTGAGAAGGAGCAAAGGGGACAGGACTTGGGGCAGTGAGACCCGGGTGATAAAGGGACAGTGGCCCCTAATGGCCAAGGTATATGTCTCTGCCCATCCTCCTTCTCCTTCTTCCTTCCTTCCCTCCGTTTATTCCCTCTCCCTCCTTCTTTCCTTTTATTCATTTATGTAACAAATACTTTTAAGCAGCAACTTGGTGCCAAGCACTGTGTTCCATCCTAGAGATAGAAGACACAGTCTGATAGCATGCATTTTGTGGGATGAGATGGGAAGGCAAAGATCAGCATATGAAAGAAGGATAATGATATCATTCAGGGTGACAACAGTGGCATGCCAGGCACTGCAGGCAGGGCTCCTGCACTGCATGACTCTGGGGAGCAACATGCTCACCATGGCCTGCATCCCGTTGGGCTCTGGGTGCATGGTGCACAAGGCTGCATCGCCAGGCCCCGGAAGAGGCATCTAACCAGTCTGTGATGGTGGACATCAGGGAGGCTTCAAGAGGAATGAGAACTAAGCCCTGCAGCAGTTTGTCAGGTGAGAGGGAAAGAGGTGAAGGAGCAACACGTGTAAAGGCAAAGAGAAGTGAAATACAGTGAGTTTTGAGAACCTAAGTAGATTTATGGCTAGATGGTTGGTGGGGTGAATGTGGGAGAAAAGGTGGGGGAGGCCAAAGGTGCCCAATGGGGAGGCCTGGAATGCTGACTGAAGCTTGGGTTCCATCCTAAGTGTAGTGGGGGCCAGCTGTTAGTGCTTTCTGAGCTGGGTGGTACCCAGGCCTGTATTCCACAGGGATGGCCCCGGCCCAATTCAGAGGTAGACTGGGATTGGGGTCCTCAAGCATGGAGACCCTGCAATGATCAGGGAAGCACTAATGAGGGCTGGGGGAAGGTCATGAAGGAGGGGAGAAGCTGGGGTCTGGGTGCCCAGGTGTTTTGCTTGGGTGACTGAGAGGGCAGAGGCAAGAACCAGGTGGAAGAAGGCAGGTGGGAAAGAAGATCTGAGGGGATGCTGTGGAGTGTGGGTGTGCTCCATCTGAAATGCAGCTGCTGGGTCTCACTCTCTCCATTCTCATTCTCTTCCTCCTCCACTGACCTCACTTGCAGCAGCCCTCTCCTGTGGGCACATTGGGGCAGGTCTTGCTGGGCCTTAGCTAGAGTTGTCCAGCGAATGAGTCCCCAACGCCCCTCCCCCTCAACCCCCAAACCAGGTGGGAGGAGGGAAATGTGCTCAGGCCCAGGGAGCTGTGTGCTGCCAGGGAGCTGGCTCAGGTATGCACTCACCAGATTCACGCCATCAGAAATGCTGATGATAGTTTCAATCTCATCCTCCCTCTGTGAAGAACAAGGACTGAGTGAGTGTCCAGGAGTGACATACCCTAGAGAACTCCCCTCCCACCGAGGCTGGGAGGAGCTCTTCCTGCCCCACTGAGCCCTGAGAGGAGGGCTGGAGTAGGGCTGGTAGCCCAAAGCTGCCTTTGGCCATGCTTTCTTTCAGGTCTCTGCACATCGGGGATTCTTATGAACCCAGAGGGATCATAGAGGGGCCAACAGAAAATGCTCCCTGGCTACAATGAAGAGGGATCTAGTGTTCTGGAGGTCCCAGGAAGGTTTTATTCCTTTTTTTCCCTTTTCCTTTTTCTTCCCTTATCTCTCCTATGCCTCTCCATATTCCACAGATTTGCAAAGGTCTGTGGGGTCTCAATTATTCCCCAGGACACGGTGAGGAAGTGTGTTAAGGTCCCCAGGTGCCCAGGTAGGGACCACATCGTCACACTTTCACTGCAGTCTCTGAGACCCACCCACTCTTTTCTCTACCCTGGCCTATGGCTGGTGGAGTCTGCCTTCGGACCAGATCTGGCAGTAGCCCCATAGCTGAGGTCCAGTTATGTGGACAACTAGGCCCGCCAAGCTGGTGTGGGAGCTCAAAGGGAAAGGTAGCCTGTGCTCTGGAACCTGCAGGTTCAAGGGTGCAAAAGGGTAGAGTTTTACCAAACTCAGACCCACTCTCTAAAGTGTACTTTCCAACCCTGCTCTGTCCTCTGAATTTTCTGTGGCTTACAGGACCTCTCCAAGGACAATATCGAGGGGATCTTTCAGCTCACAGGTGTTTGTCTACATGCCAGCAGGCTGCACTCCTCGCACCTCCCCATACCTCTCTGTCTAGCTCTTGAACCAAGGTGATGTTTCCAAAATTGGGGTCAATGGAAAAGACACTTCTAGCACCGGGGTCAAAGCTGATATGGTAGGTGACAGGGTCTCCCTCTGGGTCTGTCCCATTCAGGGTATACACATGAGAGCCTGGAAGAAAACACAGAGGGGAGACATAGAATCGGGGACTCAAATTTTCCTAGAAGTGGCAGTTGCTCTGAACAAAGGATTCAACTATTTATACAGTGAATAAACAATTCAGTGCCAAAGGTACAGCCCTGAACTGAGCATTTGCTCCTGGCCTCACCCTTGCTGGCTGCCTCCCACTCTTTATCTTTATTCTTCACAGCTGTTAGTGAGATGTTTGTATCAGCCACTTTACAGATTGTCATCTATAATACAGATTGCAGAGGAGCTTCTAGTCATCTGTGCCTAACTCTAGGCCTTAGCCTGATAATGACTCCTGTCCCAGGAGCCAAGAGTGGGGGCTTCTGGGGAAGAAGGGCAGGAGGGGGAGGGGAAGGGATGCACCATTAAGGCCAGAGGAGTGGCTCTCAGGACAGTACTGTCCCTCATGTGCAGATTAGTTCCTTGTGGATTTCTAAGCAAGTGGCCTCTTTTACACCACCGTCCCTTTGCTTAGGCTTCTCAGCCTAGACAGGGTGAGGGAGAAGAAGTGCAAATCTCTATCTTCTTTCACCATCTTCCCCTCTTTCTGTGTATCATTGGGAACTGGGTGTTCTTGGGCTATTTTAAAGGCTGAAGACCTGAGATTCTGGGAGTCAGTACATTTGCTCAAGGTTACAACAGTGTGTACTGGGCAGCTAAGCTCAGCAGTAACCATCACGCTGCACAGTTTTGCCTGCCACCTAGAGCCCCCTGCTGTCTCCTGTCCCCCCCCAACGGGCCTAGCTTAGGTCTCCAATGCCACAGCCCAGCACAATCGGGAGCAGGGCGGCCTGGCGCCCCTCGCCTTCATAGGCTGGGGGGACTGACTCATGGTTGGATGCCATGTCCAAGGGAAGGAGAGCTGCCCCTCCGGGAGACCTATGGGGGCCGGTGCCAGGGCTCCTCACCAACAGGAGTGTCCTCCCGGAGGCTGAATAGGGCAATGTTTCCATTAGTGCTGCCGACGCCGTTATCGAAGAAGTAGGGGGCGAAGTTGGCTTGGGCTAGGGAGAAAACAGAACAGTTGGGACACCCAGACACACGAAGGGACAACTTCGCACCAGCGTGGTCCTGCGTCTCGCCCCAATACTGGGCAGGCTGACATTCCCCTCTCCAGCCCTAGTACAACCACGGCCTCTGCTGGGGAGTCTCGGCGGGGGTCTCTTCCCCACCATCTCCTGTGGGCCCAGGCTTGTCAGGGACACGGACCATCTGGGGTGCTTAGAATCCAGGCAGCGGTCAAACGAAACTCATCAATGGGCAAATGGGCAATCCGAGCCAGAAAGGGACAGCGCCCTGGCCAAGGTCACATCAGGCGCGGGTGCGCCCTCCCCTGCCCCATGCAGCCAGCAGAGCAGCCGCCTAACAGCCCACCCTGCTTCTGAAGAAGCGGAGGGTAGCGGGGGTCCTGTCCTCAAATCCGGGGTCTCCAGCATACCGGCCTCTGGGGAAGTGCTCAGGAAGTTCTTTACCAGCAGAGCCAGGCAACGGGAAGAATCGCCCTCCTTCTTCGCGCCCCCACCACGTCGCAGTCCCCCAAACTAAGTACCTCTCCAGACGTGAACAGTCCGGCACTATGCCTTTGTGTCCCCCACCGTAGAGCCGGCGCCCACCCCTCGCCCCGGCCAAGGCCCACGAGGTCCAGCGGTCACTCACCCAGGCAGAGGCGCAGCAGCCCCAGGGCCAGGGAGGCCCACGGGCCGAGCCTCATGTCTCCGCGGGCGGATAGCGTCGCTCGACGCAGTCGCGGCCGGGCGCAAGAGCACCGAGCATGCAGGCGGGCAACGAGCACAGAGGTGACAATGGGGGTGGCGGCAGTGGTGGTGGCTGAGAGAGAGGGCGCGGGGCGGGACCGCGGGGTGGTGCGAGAGCGCTAAGCGGATGACACGGCTTGGGTCTGCGCCACTGGAGCGCTCCTGCAGCCGCCTAAAGAGACAGTGCGCGGAGAGGCGAGGGGAGCCGCTCCAGCGTGGGCGGGGTTGGGGGAAAGAGGCACTCCTCTCTCCTGCCACGCCCCCTTTGCTCAATCTGGACCAGGAGTCAAGGGGCCCCCAGGTACCAGATAGAAGTAATGTGGAGGGGGCCAAGTGTCTTCCCCAAGGGTTCCCTGAGCAGGGCTCTCTGAAATTGGGACTTCTCAGAGTCTCCAAGTCCCTGTGAGGCTGGAATTTTCTTTTTTTAGGAACTTTCTTTGTGACTTTCAGGGAGTTCGAGCTCTCTCTGAGCCTGAGCATTCCAGACTGTAACCCAGCCTCAAGCCAGAGGGATCCCTCCCTAGAGGAGAAATGAGAGCAGAGGAGAAAAGGAAGTGGATGGGCTTGTTGGAAGGCATTGCCCATCCGGGGACAAATAGGTTCCAAGGGCTGTGGGATGAGATCAAGATATAAAAAGGAAAGGTTGTGATTTGGAGATGAGCTCATGGTGGGGGGTTATCAGGGTCACCTCTCTAGCCTCTCAACCCATGCCTGCCCTGCCTCCCAGGCCAGGTCAGCTATCCTAGAGTGTCTCATCACTAGTCTTGTCACTCATGGGGTCCATATGTGTGAAGGGCAGAAGTGAGGGCCTTCAAATCTCTACAAAGGTGGGAGACAGAATTTCCAGGTGGCAGGCTGGCCTCCCTCCCACTGACCTTACCCAGTCAGGCCTTGCATTAGCAAGAATTAGGGATGCAGGACAAGGAAAAGATGAGTCAGTAGTCTCAGAATGTCTGGCAGTTTTTATACTCAATCAAAATTCCTCTTGTTGAAACCCCTCAGGCTTGGCCCTTTTGCTGGAAAAATGAGCTTTATTATTTCAATTTAATCTTTATTGTATTTTTTCCCCCAGAAAGATGCACTTTAAATTGCACAGACATTCCTGCATCTTTGTATCACAAAATGCTGGGACAAAATCAAGGCAAGTGTTCCACAAGTCCTATGTAGAGGTGAGGATTCCAAGGCCTTCTGCTCGTCACCCAGTGACTGGATGCAGAGACAGAGTTTCCTGAGGCAAATGTCTCGTCAGTGTGCTGAGAAGAGCCAGCACTCCCTGTGTGCTGCCTGCCCATCTCTTCATCAAGTGGTTCTGGGGTCATTGACTTCTCTCTCCTCGGTTCACTCAGTCAACAGACTTGCACCAGAAAGGGATAGAGAAGGAGTGCTCACACAGTGTGTATGTGTGCATGTGTGTATACTGTCACTCATATTATTTCATGTAACCAGCACAGCCTCTTTTGGTATGATGTCTCTGCTTTAGAAAGGAAGAAGTTAAAGTACAGAGAGGGTAAGTCACTTGCCTAGGCTCCCACAGCCAGTGAGGGACATACTCTGGATCCACATCCAGTTTGGGCTGATTCCGAAAAAAATTGAAACTCTTCCCATGGCAGCAGAAGATGACTGTGAAGCTACTAAATTTTCAGCTCTGAGCCCTTTACTCACACATCCCTTTCTTAGCACTAATTTTGTATTTGTAGTTTATATTATTATTATTTTTTTAAAGAGATCGCTCTCCTTCAATTGTATAGGTTCACATCTGCTAGAGTGACCAGCCACCCTGGTTTGTCTGGGACTAAGGGGGTTTCCAGAGATGTGACACTTTGACTGAGAAAACCAGGAAGGTCTGGGGTAAACTGGGAGGAGCTGGTCATTTTAGACCAGCCCCTGTCCTCAGAGCACCCAAGAACCTGGGAAAACAGCAGCTCTAAGTGATAGTCTCATCATGGACCCTGCTCCTGATCTTGCAGTATGAAGGGCGTGTATGGCTTAGACTGTCATAGCCAAGAACGAAGGACTTACCTGCCATGGAACATGGGGCTTGACCCTCTTCTGCAGACCCTGGGCAGCCTCAGGCACACCAGTCACCTTGTCTCCCACATGCCCATCACCCATGCAGAGTAGAGTGACTGGCTCTCTCTCTCCTAGGGTTTCATCACCATGGCACCTCTGGTGAAATACCAAATCAGGTCATCTTTAGGTCAGGTCTGACAGCTCTTCCTCAGGTACATTTAGAGTAGCTGGTTCAGCTGCCAGGCTGGGCATGCCTGTGTGTTCCAGCTCCACCTGCCAACATGGGCAGCCCAGGCTGTTGTGACTTCTTTGCTCATATCTGATCCACCTGAGTGTGCTAACCCACAGTGCCTTGTCTGTACACACACATACATTTACACAAATGCCTGCAAACATGTAGAAGCTCTAGCCTCATTTGCAGACTCATCTGTACGTATACATGCACAAACACCCACGTATGAATCTGCTCACATCTCCTCATGTAAACATGCATGCCCAGCACATGCATGTCTACCTGGACCAAGAAAGTTTAGGCAAGGAGCTCTCCATGCTCCTTCTGGTGCTGAGGAAGTGGTGAATAGCAGGTGCCTGCTATTCAGGCTCATCTTCCTAATGATCCTGACTGGGGGTTGGGCAGGGGACGAGCAGGTCACTAGCACCCTGCTCTGACCCATCTGTCAGGATGAGACCATCTGGCAGGCTGACCTCTGCCTTAGTGCTTGGCATCCTGAGCTGCTTGTCCAGTTGCTGAGTTGCAACACAATGACTTTTTATGATAGGAAGTCCTTTCCAGAGAGAGATGTGGTACTAAGTGTGAAGGTATAGCATCAGGGGATCCCAGTGGGCCTGGATGAACCCTCTTGGACATGACTGTGAGGCCCCACCTATCCCAGCCCAGGTGAGGTCCTGAGGACTGTCTTCTGAAGGTCCAGGCCAGGGTATATCACCTGGCTGTAAGTTGGGAGTCCTTTCCCACAGCAGTGGGCTCTGGAGTTAGTAGCTCGGCTGTGGGCTCAGGAGAATGGAGAGCCCTGCACACCATCTCCTCTGTAATGTGACCTCCCCTTGCCTTTGCTGCCTTCAGGCCAGGCGCAGGGTGGCTTGCCTCAGTTTCTTCTGACTTGGGGATGGGATCCCTCCTCTATCTGCCTAAGGCCCTGCCTGTCTCCCTAACTGAGGGACTCTGCAGGAGTCTAGGGCTGCCACCTGTTCCCCAGTCCCCATTCCCCATCCAGCTGGTTCAGACCCCTGGTTGTAATGCTGTCTCTTGGTCATTCTGGTATTTACATAGGTGGCCAGAAGTTTCAGCCTTGACATTACCTGTTTTTACCCTACAATAGCGCTATCTCAGCCTGCAATGTGGCTGAGCCTGGGTAGGGAATACACCAAAAAATGTGTTTTCCTCCAGAAGCCTTTTGTTGTTGTTGTTGTTGTTGTTGTTGTTGTTGTTCTGGCATGCTCTGATGCCAAGCAGAACTGGTTCCCACTTGCGACCTCAACAGGGCCCTTGAAAGATGTTAGTGCTCTAATCTGCTTGTTTTGGTGTCTCCTTAGAGTTCCTTGAGCCATTTAGTTTGCTTCAGTATCAGCACAGGGCCTGTCACAGTAGGTCTTCAATGGGTAGTTTTTGACTGACTGAATGAATGATTTAAATAAATGAATGAACGACTGAAATTAATGAATGAATGAAAAGGCACCTGACAGTCAGTCTTGGTACCTGGTCTTAGTCAACAGCTGACTTTCTGCAGCCTTTGACATGCTCCTTCTCCATTCACCCATTCATAAATTGACAGACTGTGGTAGCCAAGCCAATTTCATAAACTGAAATTCCAGGAGATGGAAATGGCTGAGCAAAAGTCAATAGCGAGTGGTGGAGACTACTGCATATGAGTGAGTGTTCAGAGCCACGGCATATTTAAACACTGAACTGAACAAACAAAATGGCTTCCATTCTGACATCTTACAATTTGACATCTCCCACCCTCTGGCTCACACTTTGCAAGTCCCAAGAGGGACAGTGCAGTTTGATGGATTATTTTAAAAAATATGTTAATTGATTTTACATAGAGAGAGGAAGGAAAAGAGAGAGAGAGACATCCATGTTAAAGAGAAATATTGATCGGCCACCTCCATGTGTGCCCTGACTGGGAATGGAACCCCTAACCTTCTGGTGCATGGGATGATGCTCCAACCAAGTGAGCCACAATGATCGGGGCAAATTTGGCAGATTAAACAGCAGATGAGCCAAAGACCTTTTCCAGGGAGCTGTTGATAGCAAGTCTTCAAGTTGCCTCTAAAACTGTCCACATGTTATCAGCCTGCTAGTAAATGGACAAGGAACAGCCGCTGTCCGGGAAACCAAACTAAAACCCTGGACACACTCAGATCCTAGAAGTTTTACGATGTTTTCAAGGCAGGGAAAAATGGCTGCAGAGTGAATCCGGGGAGTCATGTGTAGGGATAACGTATGAACATTATCCAGCCAGGACATTGCCTCTGCTGGGCTCTAAGAAGGGTTTACCCTAAACAGTTTGCCTAGAGATAAGCCCAGAGATGATCAGCAGAGTGAGTGGGTACAAAGAACTGTAAAGTGCACATGGTGCCCGACAGGATGCTTTTTAATAGCTAAGGATGAAATTGGTCCAGGAGGACACCATCTTGAATAGGGGTGTGGAAGAGGGAAGGCCTGGATTTCTTTAGTTTGGTAGAAGCAGATCTGTAATGACTGTTTGGTTTCTATTTCAGTCAGGCATTTCTCATTTACTCTCTCTAACAGCCCTCTGTGAAAGGTGGTCTCAGTCTCATTTTACTAATGGGGAACCTGAGGTTCTGAGAGGTCATATGACCTCCCTGATGTCACAGAGTGGGCACATGATAGAACCATCATTTGAAGCCAACTCAGCCTGTGAAGCTGTCAAAATATAGGTGTCCCACACAGTCAGGGAGTGTGGGCCCCCTTTAGTTGTCATGGAGACTGCATACCTTCTCTAATGACACTACTGTAACCTGCAAACATGTCTAGACTCTTCAAGGAATCTCTTAGGGCAACATAAGAATTCCAGTTTTCTAACTAAGTCACTTTCAGACGTTTGGGATTGCCTTGTAATCTCATAGGATGCCCAATAGCTTTGAGCAGCCTTATGCACAAGATTGCCGCTATCGATGCAATCTACCCTTCAAGGGCAAAGTTCTCCCACCAAGATTAAAAACTCTGTGGCAAGTTCTGCCAGTGACATCCCACAGGTGAGAGGGAGAAGGAATGTTCCTGGCATTTGGCCTCTAGCTCTCTGCAGGCACTGCTGTTTGCTTGGGAATTGGTCTCAGATGCTCCCCCATTCCTCAAAGGAAGGACAGATGGCAGGCCAGGCGGGCAGGGGCAGGGTCCTCACCTCCCTTTCATGCTTCCCTCATTTGGTCTTGGCTGCTCTGAGGGACTGGCATCCCTGGAAGGCCCCTCTGAGTCACTGTCCATTTCATCTGGAGCTGGTCTCTTTAGGGCACCATATCCAAAAGGACAGTGGCCAGAGCTGTGCACACTGCATTCCTGCCCCTCCTCCTTTTCCCACAGGCCATGTTGTGTCTTCCCTTTATTTGTGTATATTAAATGTCTGCCCTTCTGTACTGCACCCCTCAAAGAAGCTGAGGCTTCTGGGGCTTGTGCTTCCTGAGCATAAAGAGGGACTCGGTTCAGTGGCCAGGCACATGGCCTTTGAATTATTCCTCTTGGTTGACTCTTGAGTACAAATGTTTAATTTTGTGTGAGATTTTTTTCTTTGCCTTTTTTGGGGGTGGGTGGGAGGTTAGGGGGTTGATGAAGAGTAGAGGCAAAAGGTGAGGGACAAGGATCTGGAAGGGCCAGCACTCTTGCATTGCTGGAAGGTGAAGGTTCAGCTTGCCAAGGGAATTCTAGGTGGGAGTCCTACACAGCACAGGAATGGTCATTGCGGACTTGTCCACACAGCCCACACAGCTGCCAAGTCTGCAAGGCTATTCAGACACCCCACTATCCTCCCCTCTCTACCTTGCCCAATGCCCTGCCTTAGTTCCAGCACATTCCATCTCCTCCTAATAGCTCTCCCTACTCTATATTCTCTCCTGTTTACGAACATCCCTCACTATTCATCATCCTCAGGATAAACTCTAAATACCTGATGGCATTCTCGGTTCTCCCATGGCCTCAGACTGAATCCCCTGCTTCCCCTTTGTTCATCAGTCTTGCTGTCCAGTTGCTGAATTTTCCTCAAATACTCAAGTTTCCCTGCCTGGCCCTTGCTGCACCTCTATTCAACACACCCCTCTCCCCTAGTACACACACACCCCTTCTCCAGCTGGAAGTCTCCCTTAACTCAGTTCAAGCACCAGCTCCTTATCTTCTCACTCTCCCTCCCACACCCGGCCCTCTTACCACAGTGCTCACCACTTTGTGGAACCATGATTGCTTCTCAGCCTTCAAAACCCTATTTTGAGCCTCAGAACCACCCACAGTCTGACCATTACCTACCCCAGGAAGGAGAGAGTGAGTGAGCCCATGATTGACACTTCGGAAAGGAAGTGAAAGGTCTGGCCTATCTATGACAAGGTAAGGACTTCTGGCCACCCTGGGACCATGTCCTCAGAGGCCTGAACAAGAGAACCTCTGCCCATCAGCCTTGTGCCTGGTGGTCCTGGCAGTCGCAGACATGGCTGTGTGCAGGGTGTACAAAGGGGCTTCTCACCTTGCTGGGAGAATCAGATTAGAAGGGAGCTTTATTGAGAGATAAGCCTCTTAGACCTGGGCCATCTGTCCCCTTTGAGCTGCAGCCCTGCAGCTCTACATTCACTGTGGGCATAAACACTCCCCACAGGGTTGGGGCAGGGAGGCAGGAACTTCCCTGAACTCAGATGGCTTTCCACGAGCCAGCCCTTTGCTTGTGGGCACTGTGCATTTATCTATGAGCTGGAACCTCCTGTCAACCCTTTGAAGAGGTCCTGCACTCTCTATTGCCCAGAAAAGGGAAATCCTGGTCAGCACAGGTATTTCAACCTTGGGGTGATGGACAAAGACCCTTGCTATTGTCACTATTTCTCATTCTCCCTTCTCATAGTTAGATGTTGTACAATGAAGGGGTGACCTGCTGGAGAAGCTTGGGGGCATGGGTCTCCTCTAGCAGGAAGCTGTGGCTCAGGTCCAGTCACAGACTTTCTCAAACAAGGATTAGCCATGTATTTTTGGTTGCTTATTTACTTATCATTTATTTGGATGTTCTTTCCAGCAGATTCTCATAAGAAAGATAGAAAGGGGTTCTTTCAGGGGCCATCAGATACAAATGGTTAGGAGCTAGGCGTGTCTCGAATGACGGGGCCTCTGCAGTGCTTGTCAGCTGCTCTGGGTTGTCTGTTACTCTGCACCCCAGCAGGCTCAGAATCTGAATTTATAGCTGCCATGTGTCAACAGTGGAATCTGACTGCCAGTGCTGGAGGGGCCAGGTGGGGACTGAGGCCAGAAACTGAGCCTTGTTTTTGAAACCCTACACCTGTGGGAGTGCCCCAGGCACCACCCAAATGTTGGACTTGGGCTTGGTCTTGCACGGCTTGCAGATCCTCGCATGGTGTCCTGGGATGGAGTAATGAGCAGGCAGAGAGGCAGGCAGAGTCAGCGATGGAGAGAGGGGAAAACACAATTAGATTCATTTCTAGACACAAAGGTTTTGTTTGTTTGTTTTTTTAAATCAAAGCACAAATTAGATCCTACCCTCCTTTCTGGAAGCTCAAAATGGGACTTTCATGACAAACACGACCAGCCCAAGCTGTCTGAGTCCTGTCAGGGAGAAATCTGATTTACTAGCAGAAGATGGAGAGAAGGTGGTCTATCTGTTCAGTTGGCTGTGTCAAAAGCAGAGTCAACTGAAGTTGAGGGTCTGGGAGGTCTGTTTCTGATGGGCTGGGTAGAATGGTCTGCCCACACATTTTTGCAAACCCTTGGACCCCTCTAGCTGTCTTCTTCCAGACAACACTCTCAAGCAATGTGTGTGTCAAAGTTACATTTGCATGTCTTGACAAACCAATCCCATATATGGGAGGAATAACCCATCAAAAAGAAAAAAATGCATGGACTGAGCTTTTCTTCATAGTTTTAATACTGGAAAATATTTCTGGAAACAATCTGAATATCCTACAGGTAAAAAAAAGGTTAATTAATAAAAGTACTCCATGATGATGGAAATAATTAATAGTGATAAAATACTGTGAGTATGGTGATTGTTGCAGCATGAAGAAAAATAATTATGATGCAATGTAAATTTTAAAAATTAAAAAATGATGTACAATAAACCTAAAACTGGGCAAATATTTTGTATAGAGAAACAATGGAAATATGAATGAGAGAGTATTGTTATGGTAATGAGTTTATTTTTATTTCACTTGTTTCCAGATTATTACTGTATGTAAGGCAGTGTGATAGTTAAGAACATTGAGAAATACCACATGATTTCACTCATATGTGGAATTTAATGAACAAACTGAACTAACAAGCAAAATAGAGACAGACTTGTAGATAGAGAGCAGGATGAGACCTCTGGGGAGTGGGGAGCTCGAGGGGTAGAGGGATCAAACAAAAAGGTAAAAGGACTCATGGACATGGACAACAGTGTGGTGATTGCGAGGGGGTGAAGGCGGCATAATGGGGCTAAATGGCGATGAAAAAATAAAAAAAAGAAAATCCTAAAAGTAAAAAAAGTCATGGTGAAAGAGAAAAAATAAATTGTATTAATGAATTAAAAAATGAAAAAACATAGAATCTGGAGCCAGATCATTTGGTACAGCCAGCTTTACCATTTACTAGCTGTGTGACTTTCAACAAGTTACTTAACCTCTCTGTGCTTTGGCTCCTCATCTGTAAAAATGGGCATAGTACTAGTACCCAAATCTTAGGATTATTATGAGAACTAAATGATTTAGCAGATGTAAGTGCTACATAGTAACTGCTATATAACCACTAGCTATATAAAAAATAAATTTCATTATCATAATTCATCCATAGCTTCATATCTTAATCATATATAAGTACTAATATTGGCATGGTTTTCCTTCTATATTTTTCCTATTTGAAAGTTTTTTTGTCTTCGTATAGTGATAATCACAGTAATATACAGTGTAAGCTACTCTTTCATGCTAATATCATATCGTGAGGATTTTCCACCAGTACTTCTGTAGAGGACCATGATTTATTGACCACTGGCTCCTGTTTACCCCCATCCCCACTCTCAGACCCTTATGCTCTCTTCTATGGCTCCTACAACAAATACTCTGATTGACTGATTGCAAATGTGATCACAATTTTCCATTTCTCCTTTGCAATGAGACTTTGTAGTTTCTTCTATCTAGAGACACGTGTTATTTCCCTGTTCCTTGGAGCTGGGTTGGCCCGGTGACTTGCTTTGGCCAGCAGAATGCAGGGGAGATGAAGCCATCTGAGGCCTCTAGAGGTCTTAGGTGCTTCTACTCACAGAGAAGGAACCCTATAGCCACATGTGAACAAATCTGGGCTAGTCTATGGGAAGATGAGAGACGATGTGGAATAGTCCACTTGCCTGAGACCATCCTGGACTTACAGACCACTGATCCCCAAAGTGTGAGACAGCCCAACCTAGATCAGCAGAAGTGCCATCCAACCCTTGGAAGCATGAATGAGCCTAGTGAACACTAGAAAAGCTACCCATCTGACTTGCAGACACATGGAAAATAATAAAAACTGTTTTGGACCACCAAAGTGGGGAGTGTTTGTAATGCTGCTATAGCTAATGGATATAATCACAAGGAATAAGACCACTGATCTGAGCCCCTCTGATTGGTCCACTGGGCAGCAATGGTCCTTCCCAAGGAACATTGTACTGAGCCCTTGTGTTCACCCTGGTACCACCCAAAGTTGCCAAAATCCACAAATCATCACACTCATGGCCCTCAATGGGTAACCTTTGCAGTCTGGGTCCCTTCCTGAAAATAGGAACAATCCCATGGTAGGGAGGAATCTCTCTGTGCCCCTTCTATCTCATGTCTGCCACCAAGGGTCATTTTCCTGGGCTGTAGAGCAGGGAGGGGGCACAGAGCTCTCAGGCCCTGCAGGCAGTCTATGGGACAAGCAGGCACACTTGCAAGCTCCCAGGGTCTTCTCACAAGACTTCCCCAGTTTTCTCCAGGATCTTCCTCATTGGCACCTGTCTCAGGACACCTGGAAGGAAAGAGCCTGACAGACCTTCCCAGCTAGTGGGGCCTAAACAGCTGTCAGTCTGACCCCACCCTAAGCCTGGTGCCCTTCAAGTGCTAACAGAGTCAAAAAATGAATATTTCTTTTTAAAAAAAATCTTTGCTATGACAATGGTGCTTTACAGATTGCTAAAAACTTTTCAAATAGTTGAGAAGAAGACTTTTTTTTTAGTAAATTGGTAAACACAAATTTAGCAGTTGGCCACTGGCACATTGATTTTTGAAGATGGTGTCATTGAATTGCCCCAGAGGCCTGTGCCTGCTACTTCCTGTCACCCCTATGGACCTAACACAGCACTTATGTATAAAACCATGCAGAGGAAAGACACTTCAGATTGAGGAGTAGTTGGTGTCCAGCATGTGTGTCACAGATGCTGGTTGTCAGTTCAGGGATATCCTCCAGGCAACCTTAGATTGTTTTCTCTTTCCAAAGACAGGCACATGGACACACTTATGTCAGTGAACTGAAGCACAGAGGCTGAATTCCCAGAGCCTGGCATCCCCAGCACCCTCACTGATTACACAGTATTGAGGAAGCCCCCATGTCAGCTCTGGACGATGGCCGGCGGAGCTGCCAAACCTGAGCAAGAACACATGGGCTTCAGTTTTTAGTGTGTAACTCGCTAGTCTCCTGGCTGAGCTGTGGCCCAGCTCAGACTTCCTTCCAAGAAACAGCTGGGCATGTTCCGAGGTACTTGGGGTCAGGCTGACTCCTAACCACAGCCTAAAGAAGTAGATTCTATTATTATACTCTTTCCCAGATGGAGAGACTGAGGGTCAGCAGGACTAGGTGACCAGCATGTGGTAGAGCAGATTTCCAACCAAGATAGTGCCTTCTTTCCTGGAAGTCTGTGGTCTTCTGGGGCATGTGCATGTCCCCGAGTTGATAGCACCAGCTGTGACACACGCATGCTGGCTATCAACTACTCCTCAATCTAAAGTGTCCTTCCTGAGCATTGTTTCATATATAAGTGCTGTGCTGGGTCCATGTGGGTGACAGACAGTGGTAGGCATGGGAGTCTGGGTCAATTCAATGAAACCGTCTTCAAAAACCAATGTGCTGAGTGGTCAATTGCTGAATTTACACGTTCTATCAAGGAAGTAGTTTGTTGTAGTGGAAGATGTAGATACACCTGGTTTCTGGCTCTGCCTCAAAGTTTTTCTGAGCTTCAGTTTCCCAGTGTAGAAAATGGTGACAATGCTTCCCCAGGGAGGTTCCAAGGATTTAAATGAGGGTGCGTGAAAGGGAGCCAATAAAAAATGTTTGTTTTGCTCTTTTTGTTCTAAGTTCTTTGCAAATTTCTGCAATAGAATTTAAAAAATATCAACACTAAAGGAACTCCAAGTCCAACATGAGAGCAATGCATCAGATGATTCTAAAGTACTGTGTGACTAACTGAATGCCTGTCCTTGTACTTGTATGGTGCACAAGGAGTTAACCTGGCTGTTTCCTATGAATTGCGTGTGTGCCTGTGCCTAGACTTCACTTTTCCTTGCTGCTTCTGAGCAAGTTCATCCTGGGGAGTAGTTGGGGAGAGGGGAGACTTTGAGCACTCCCTGCTGTCGTCCTAGGGATGGACTCCTCTTCCCTCTTCCCTAGATTTTTGCCTTATTTATTTCATGAAAACACTCCTCTGCTAGGCTGGGGCCTCCGGGGAGGGAGCAGAGTTGCAGGCAGCCAGTCAGTGCACGCACCCTCCACCTTGCCTGGGCAGGGGCCTCATGCTCCAGTTCAGAGTGTGAGATCAGGTTATTTTTACTCTGCTCCAGCTGCATGTGATGCCAATTTGGAAGAAGGGGCTGTCACCTTCTCCAGAGAAATGGCCTATGACTGAGCCATGCAGTCTCCCTCCAGTTATCTCCTTCACACCCACTCCTCCTCGTTACACAGGTTTCTTGGTAGCTGGGAGGGGTGTGGGAGCTCCAGTTCTGATCAGGGCCACAGCCCCAGAGGCACCAGCAGGGCTGGGGCTTTCTCAGACCCCTGGGAGCAATCCTTAGTCTGCAAAGAGTGGGGGCAGGAGCCCTGGATTTGTGTCGGGCCTGGTGGGCTCCCAGCTCTGCAGCTTTCCCTTGAGGACTGTGCTTGTCCCAGGCTCTAGGACCCTCCTATGAAAGGCCAGCAGAGGTCCAGCACTCCTACCCTCACTCTGGGCAGCTAACTGCCATGTGTCAGTCTACCCCTGGCCTGGAGCCCCAGTGCTGGGAGCTGGGTACCTGAGGCTTCTCCTTGGGCCTGCCTCCCTTACCACCCAGTGACCCCCAGGCCTTAGGAGAGAGGGTGGAGCTGCTCTGCCAAACCCCACCCTGGCACGGAGCTCTGCTCAGCTGCCTGTACCTCTGCGACTCTCTGGACCTGCATGCCTCATCTCCTTTAACTCATGTGCCAGCTCACAAGACTGGCCCTGCCTTGGTTTGTGGCTGCCATGAGCACATTTGGACCCCCATCCCTCTTGTCTTCCATTCCTCCCTCTTGCCCATCTCAGGCCCCTATGCCTGCTGCTTCTTGGCTTGCACCCTAATCCTCTACCCTCTTTGTTCCCCATTTCCTAATTGCACCTTGTTCTTTTGACAGACATATTCAGTTCAAAATGATTAATTTGTTGACTTTGGTGGGGGCGGGGGATCATCAGTTTTCCTCACTAGACCGGAAGCTCCATGAGGCTGAGATCTTATCTGCTTATGGCCCCTCCATACTAGCACCTGGTATCAGAGAAGGGCAGGGTTGACCACGGCCTCCTCAGAACCTCTCCTCCATGTGCACTGGTGCTGTGCTTACCTTTCTGGGTCCTTAGAACAGGATTAGGAACTTGGGAGCAGCAGAGCTTGCCTTTCAAGCGCTTGGTGGGATGCCTAGGATTCCTCTTTCCTAAGGGCAGACATGGGGGGGGGGGCAGAGACCCTTTCTTAGCATGTATGGGAACACCATGGGGTTGGTCTGTGCAGGAATGACTAGTGTGAGCTTCAGCTCTCAAGACTTAGGGTTCAGAAATATTTATTCACGAAAACTCAGGATGGGCCAGGCTATGGGAAGGCCCAGGTAAAGGAAGAACCTTGGGATGCTTTATTTTTCAGCAATATCAAAGTCAAAGTGGAGAGATATTCTGCACCCCCCCGCAACATGTCTTCATCGCGTTTTTGTCTAGAAACAGTTCACTCAAAAGCGTCTCTGCCTTTTGACACAGTGCTTCTCCCCTTGGGAATCTAGTGTAAGAAAATAATCCTAAATACAGAAAACATCTTATGTATATATATATGCCCTTATCACATATTTAAAATAGTGCAAAGTCATGAACCATCTAAACGTCTAAGCATGTAAATTTATCATAGCATATTCACTTGGTGGCAAGTTATACCTAAAAAATATTAAATTGCACCACTTTGGAGAATCTGGCAGAGATACTCCTAAGTGGATGGGAACCTTTATGGGGAAAGATATTCATCTTCGTCAAATCATCATTATGGTAACACTTCCAACTTCTAACATGTCTGAAATGGAGGTCTGAGATGCAATGCTATGGACTGCACTTATGGGGAATTCCAATCACTGTTTTCCATGTTACATTTGCAGCAATGTTCTTTGAAGAAATTTTAGGAAACAAAAACTTCCTATAATCTTATTGTTCAAAGATAATTGCTATTGACGTTTTGTTGTAAATGCTTCCAGAAGAATTTTAATCATAACTTTGCTTGGTGATTATAATACCGTGATAAATAAAAAAGATACAGTATTGAACATACAGAAATTCATCAATTACAAAAAATGCCTGCATGCAATACTGAAAAGAAATAAACAAAATGCTGAACCATGGCTATTCTTGCATCATTAAATGATTGATGTTTTCACCCATATACATATATTTATCCCCAAATCCAATAAATGTTAAAATAACCAAAATCGTTAAAACAGGAATAAAAGTAGGCAGTTTCTAGAGGGCTGGCAAAGAGGAAAAGCTCAAAGTACTCAGCTATCTGATCAAAAAGGGCAGGAGAGGTAAATATTCATATCCACAGTACAAGAACTAATTCCTCCACTTCTAAATACAAACACACCCCTGCAACATGTTCTCTCATCCCATGTGCCACAGGTGTCTACTATGTATGAGTTTTGGGGGTGTTCAGGCTAAGAGTCTACTAATTGATTTATTCATTGTCAACACTAATTTACCGTGCTCCAAGCATGATACAAGACACTAAAGTGGCTCTGGAATTTATAGCTAGGTAGGACGTAGCTGCACAATCTAGCTGGGAGGTTGTATGTTTGCATGGTAAGCACACTGCTCTTACTTAGCTTATACGTGCGTTTGGGAGAATTGGTGCTGTGGTTGGAGGCTGTGCAGTTGAAAGCTCCCAAGCCACCCCTGGTGCTACCACTGTGGGTAGGGGTGTTACACAGATTCAGGAGTGAGAGCCTGTCCTTCGGGCCCAGGACTGCCTGCCAGAACCTTGCCCTCCAACATTTCCTGATTCCAACTTTTCCAGACACTGGCAGCCCCACTCAGGGGCCAGCACCCCAGGGACAGACCTACCTTCTATGGAGAAGATGGAGAAACAGAGAAGCAAGACGCAGAGCAGGCTGGAGAAGACTGGAAACCTCATGGTGGGCAGCTGGATCTGACGTCCTGGGGAAGCAGCTGTGCCACAAAAGTCCTCCCTTGAGGACACCCAGACCTTTACAGTGTGACGGGAAGAGGTGTTTCCAGATGGGCAGGGCAGTGGCAACCTTGGAATTCTCATGTAAGGTAGAGTTAGCCCCTCCCAAGAGGAAAAAACCAGCTTTTCGAGAAGTTGAGAGCATTTAGTGAACTGTAAACAAGGCTGTAAAGGTCCCAGCCCTGGGAGCTTCCAGTGCTCGCCTCAGTGGTTAGAGCAGGAAACTCTTGCCAGGGAAGAGCCACTTTCCAGGGTTGAACGTTAACTTTTAGTGTCAGTAATAATTCCATCATATACAGATCTTCCTGTTCATTCCTTAGTCGGGGCAGGAGGAGGACCATAAAACCCTTTATAAAGCCTCTGAGACAGGAGCAGGCATGAAAATGCTTTCTCTCTGACTCTGCCATGGGAGGACACAATGACAATAGTGCCATCAGCAAGCCAGGAAGAGTGTCCTCACAGGAAAGCAGCCATGTTGGCACCAAGATCTCAGACTTCCCAGCCTCCAGAAGAGTGAGAAATAAATGTCTGCTGTTAAAAAACGAAACAAACCAAAAAAAAGACCTCTGGGAAGTCTTGAGCAATGAGTGAAATGTAGAGAGCAGAGGAGCGGCAATCAGACAACTTGGGTTTGAGTCCTTGCTCTGCCACAAGCTATATGAACTTGAACTTGCCATCAAATGTGAACGTTTCCCCTCTGGGCAGAGTGCCGCCTCTCTCACAAGTTTCAATGAGAAGCCGTATGTGAGAAGCTATCTGCAACAAGGGAGCAGCTCCTCGGGCTGAGAGAGAGGCAGGGCTGCAGCTGGACCTTGCTGGGTACTTGATGAAATAAAAGGGACTTCAGGAACAGAATCAGCCTGTGCAAAGATACGGAGAAAAAGAACATCCTACAAGTATAAGCATGGGGAAGTGTCTGGCGATGGGTGCAGGAAGCTCAGTTGTTACCTATTCACCAGACACGTACCATGGGCCACGGGCTAGGCTGTATGCCTTGGCCCCAGGCATACAAAAGATACTGTGTCTGCCCTTGAGGCTTTTGTTAGTAGAGGCAGCCATGCAGATACGAAGAATTTGCTGTTTCCTTGTAATATCATGTCCTTCTGTTATTTGCCTTAATGTGGGCCCTTCTATATAAAGGACAGGCTCTGTTCCAAGCCTCAAAGGGCGTGTGGAAAGACAGTGGTATCTGGTTCAACTCTCCAGGATTTCCCTGGTTCCTGGCAGCCCATTCAGACATTCCTTGCTGACCAAGAGTAGCCAACAGTACCCTTTGCTGGCCCCACACTGTTGCTGGAGATTAGAGGAACAATTGAGACAATATTCCTAGACAGCTTGGTGTGCAAATCTGGGTGCGGGTGATAGCCTGACAGGCAGCCCGTATGCTTTTGTGTGTTTATAAAAACTTTAAAACCATTCCAAAGAAACTCGTTGGAGTTGCTGGGCTTAAGAACTGAATGTCACGCTATGTTAGTCACCCATGCAGCCCCAACTAGATTCTGTTTCCAAGTTCTAAATCTTGATGGCTGTGCTGAGTGGGCATGGCCACAGTAGAGGGTGTGGTCAAGACCAGCAGAGCCAGAAGAGGGCTTGAGGGGGACCGAGTTCTCCCAGAATCAACTCGAGTTGATGCCTAGGAGAGATTTGGTGGGAGCTGCCATCGTTGAAAGGAGGGTCAGGAAGCAGGCAGGACGTAACTTGAGGCTGCATCTGCCTGCTGGTAGGCTGCTTTTGCTGTGAATGGACCTACAAAGCCAAGCTTCCTAAGGGGGCTTCCTGAGGTTAGAATTATATCCATGGTTCATATCAAGAACTATTACCACTATTTTATTTATTTTTATCTGGGGTAGTTTGGGGTGCCACCACTGAGTTCTCTGGGCAATAGCATACCTTTGGCTGCCACTCACCCATTACCTGTTTTAACAGGTACTCTGCATTGGCGTGGTTCTTTTGCTTTTGGCAAACCATCATCAGAGGGGAAAAGAACCACCTACCTGGCAGTGGGGGCAGGAATTGGGTCAAATCTTAAAAGTTGAACTCTAATTGCTTTGTAATGGTATAAAAATCAGGAGACTCTCTGGCTAGTGAAGAGAGATATTGGTCTGCATCCACTAAGCCAGGATTTGGGTAATTTTGCAGGGACCCTCAGCCACTCAGCCATGGAGTCCAAAATAGCTGTCATGTTTTCAACACAGCTTTTTTTTTTTTTTTTTTTTTTGTCTCCACAGAACAAAGCCTTTAAGAGCACTGAATATCTCAGAGCAGGAAGAACTAGCTGTCTCAGTGCCTCTGTTCCTTACACAATCACACAGCGCATTCTCAGATATACAGATGTTCCTGGGACTGTATGTTTGATGGGAAGGATAGATTCAGATGTTAGAATTCTACCTGCTTTTAAATGTTTATAAAATTACTGAAGCAATCTCTGGCCTGCACTGATTTAATAACACGGGGTATAAAGTGCAAGTTCTACCCAAAACCCTACTCCCTAGTCCCTGTTCAGATTTTCACCTGCTTTTTTAACATTTCAAAGATAGGTAGCTGTCAACATCTTATTTTTAAAAAAGGAAGAAACACCTTTAGCTCCTTAGAATATTTGAAATCTCATGTTGAGCTGAGAGGTGAAAATGAGTAGCATTTTTAACAGGAACACCTGTTTTAAGCATATGCAGTTTGGGTGCCAAAATAATCAAGTTTGAAGCTTTGAATAATTTCCAAAGGTGATTTTGACATGTGGCAACCTTCCTGAGACAACAGTCGCCAGGGGTATACCTAACACATGGGAAGTTACAGGAAGAAAAATTTTCAAGTCATATTTGTGATTTCTAAGGTCAATTAGGAAAATGCCTGAAGTGTCCCCACCCTTTATGGTTAGGGCACTTTTGGCCCTTCACTCTGGGTCACCACACTCTTCTTCCAAGTATACTTTATGGACCCTGTAATTGATCAGAAATGACTCTCCCTCTTTTATTTGCTTAGCATTTGCAGATCAATTTATAATATATAATATAAGGAAGGGTCAGACTCTGGTGATTACAACAGTAATCCTTCAATTCTTTTCTCATTGAATTCTTCCCTAAGCTCAGAGACACAGACACTTGATTTTCATTTTGTAATAAAATGAAGTTTCCTTCACCTCACAAAAAAACGTTATGGCCACATCTCATTTAGAACCACATCCGTCTGACTCCAAAGCCAAGGTTCTTTCCTGATGTTGGTTCCACAAGAGCTGAGGTTGAAAATAACCTACAACGTTGTTTAGTTTACACACTACCCCAAATTGTACAAAACCCCGATAGCTTCCTCTATTTTTAGTGTTAATCTGAACTTCCTCTTAAGTCTCCATCCTGCCTCTGGTTGTCCTGCTGCTGGGGTCAAGGCTGGTAAATACTGGTCTATTCCCCTATGCCCATTCTTGCTGGCCACCTTGGATTTTACTGATGCCATGTATCCCGCCCCACCTCCCCACCCTGTTACTCAGATCTCTCTGCCCCCTGGTGGGTGGGGGCTGTCTACCCACAGCCATGACTGTGGCTACCTGCCTCGTCATGGTGGCTGCCAGCAGGATTGTGGGCTCCTCCTAGGGTTATGCCAGGCTATCACTTCTCTTCCATGACATGAAGGCACCTGGAGAGACTAGAAGGTACTGCCTTTTCTAGCCTATGGCCATTCCATGTTGGTGCTGCAATGTCTGTGAAGTCACCACCTCTGACTTGGCTTTCTGCTCTCTCTGGAGTTCCTGGCCTTTTGCTCCCATCTTCACACCTACCCCATGGTTTTAGCTTGGAGTCGGGGAATCAGGATCCTGGTCTTTGGTTTGTCCCCCTACATCCTCACACTTCTTGAAAGCACAGGCTCTAGAGCCAAATGATCCAGCCTCTAACCAGAGCTCTCCCACATTTTAACTGTGTGGCCCTGGAGAAGCTGCTCAACTTCTCTGTTCCTTAGTTTCTCTGTTTCTCATTAAAACAGTAGCTGAAGCTGGAGAAGAACAGATCCTTTTGATCAGAGTGTAATGCTAAAGCATCCTGCAATCTGAAGATAATTTTCTATTATATTAAGTGGTCAATTCCTGGAAGTGGGGTACATAGTCTTCCAACTTTTCAACAGCAACCGGTCTCCAAAAAAAAAAAACAACCAAACAAAAACCCCCCAAAAACCCCTCAGCAATCTCCCACTTGTGTTCAAGGATATATGATGTTTCTTTAATGTGGAACAATGACTACATTTTCAGGCCACAATTCAGGGCAAGAAAAGAAAAAACACACATTAAAACTCAGGTCTAAATGAATAACACCGGATCCATTCACAAATGTGGATTTTGACAAAGGGTAGCAGGACCATCAGAGCAAGTACGAGGAGACCTGGGCAATAAGAAGGGGAATGCCAAGGTTTGCTGCTTTTGCCTGCCCTCAGAGCTGGAGTCTGTCAGTGTCTCCTCTGTGACTTGCAGGTTTGACAGCAGGCTTCCCAGAAAAGAGGTGTTACCTTTCCTATCATCACCCTCACACCTAGCACCACCTCGACAGGGTGGATGTGTGAGACGCAGCCAGAGCTCTGCAGTTCCCAGGAAAACATCAACCCTGGTGTCAATGCAGACACAGCATGTGAGGGCTACAGGGACCTTGAAGGCATTAGGTCCAGTTCCACTCAGAGATAAGTCGTGCCAAAGGCTGCAGTGTGGATAGAAGTTCTGCTTTCCTGGGTCTTTCACAAAATTCCCAAAACCTGAAAAGTGAGTTTCAATGTACTTTCTTTCCATAAGTACTTTCATTTGTAAAATGTTAGCGGAAGCTGTAACATACTGAAAAATATACCAAACATCCCATTTTCCTACCAAACGCTCATTTTTTTGCCACTCAGAATTAACAACAGTGAAGATCTTATCGTAATTTCTCTAACTTCTTTTTAAATGACTCCTACTTACAAAGAGTTAGATCATACCAAATCACTCATGCTCTGAGCCTCCAAACAGGAGGTCTTCCTGTTCAGGAGTCATTCTGCATTCAATCCTTGTGAAGTATATAACTGGGTGGGGCTAAATTTGTACTTTCTCGTGGAAGATTCCCTCTGAATCATCAGTAAAATTGCTACTAGCAATTACCAAAAGATTATACTTCAGATGCCTTTTTCTACAGGACAATGAACTATTGGGAAATTATGGAAAACAAGTCACTGGAAAACACCGTATTTCTTCAATTATAAAATGTCACTGATTTTAAGATATGCTATTTAGTTTTGAACAAAAAAAATCATGAAATTGGACAAACATTTCAGAAATAAAAGTCTGATGGGGGATCTTGGCATTGAAGCAACATGACTAATGAGTAAATGAAACTAAGATATGTAACACCCTTTCCAATGAGATTGCCATATGAACCTAATTTCACCAAGCTGTGCTGCTATGTAAGACCACACTGAGGCATGTAGGTGAGCTGTCCACATGTGCCAGGCACATGAAAGGCTAGTATGCAAGAATGATGGCAAGCTGACACCGTATTTATAGGGGCTCAGGGGGCTTTTACGAAGTGCTCAGTGGACTGTTTTAAATGTTTAACTGTTTCTAGACTTCTGTGCCCAGTTGTGAAAACAAATACCAATTAGGTCGTGCAAGATATCAATTCTGGGTGTAAAAAAACATGGACTCTTGAAGGTGAAGAGGTTCCTTAGAAGGACTGATAACCTACTAGGTGAGGAACTAATACAAATGAAGCCAGGCAGAATTGAAGGCTGAGGTTGGGAAGAGATTGTACTGGATCTGCCCTCATGCAAACTTGCCAGCAGCCCTGAGATAGATACACTGGTCAGAATGGTCCACATTATCTCTTCTCCCCCATCAGACTTCAGATTTCACCTTTGCTTCTGGCACAAAATGCTCCTTTTACTGTTTTCAAGTGCTAACACTGGGGGAGTTTTCTCCGTCTTCCTGAACTGCTACACAAAAGACAAAGTCCTCAAGGTCACGGCTTCAAATTTCTGCTTTGAAAAAATGGCTTCCATTCTGACTGCTAGTTATATAAATTGAGCACATTTAGGGAGTCCATCTTACTAATTACACTGACCTTTAAATAATGGCTTGATTTGTAGCTCCAAGTAGGAGTTTCTGGTACTCTATATAAAAAATAGGATCTGGGGAAGTAAAACATGATTATCATTTATCTGAGGTCAATTCCTTTTGGTAAACACTAAAATTCTAGTGTTGTAGGTATGTTCACCAGAATCCCAACCTACCTATTTAATTTGTACAGTGTTTTTGATTCTCAGATAGAATCAGCCTGTGGGATTGATTCATCATGAATCTCTCAGTATAACAGGCTAGGAGGATCACTTAACTCTACCACTTCATCCTTCTCAGCTACAAGATTCAATCTTGTGCAGACTGAATTTGTAGGCTTCAGTTTACTCCTTTGCAAAATGAGGAGAGCATAGCAGTACCTAGCTCAGAGGAATTTATCATTTGTGCAAAGGGATTAGCACATAATATAAAAAAATTCAAACATTAACTATTACTAGCCTATCTAGACACTTCTACTCTACTGAAATGATACAAATCTTGGGTATCATTTAGTTTCAGAAACTTTAATATGGATACATTTTATCAAGATGAAGAATTTTAAGAGAGACAGGCCTCTAACATTTCAAAGAGCACAGAAGAAATCCAAGGGCCCAGTGCTCTAAGCACAGAACACAAACCTGCTGGCTCTACCAAAAAACTGTCAATTTGCCAGTCTTCACTCTTCCCTGTGAGTGATGTGAGGGAATAAACCCAAGTGGTATGTCGAAGGAGCCACAGACCTAATGATTACTTTAGAGCTAGTATAAGTATTTGCCATTTTATATGAGGGAGGACCCCCCAAAAACCTGGTTTATTTTTAAAAAACTGTGTATTTATTTTAACATGTTTAATTTCAGTCACCTTCAAAGTACTCTCCATTTGATGCAATACACCTATCTAGATTTTTTTTTTCCTACTCAAAACAGTTTTTTGAACTCATCGATTTTGATGCCTCTTAGCGCTTCTATCGTTTTTTTTTTTTGTTTGTTTGTTTCACCTTTTCCATATTGGCAAAATATTTCCCTTTGAAGACTTTTTTCATGGGGCGGAGGCGGGGGGGACGGGAACAAAAAGAAGTCGCTTGGAGCAAGGTCCAGTGAATAGGAAGGGTGGGGCATGGGGGGGTCATGCTATTTTTGGCCGAACACTGCTGAACACTCACCGTGGTGTGGGCCGGTACGCTTGTAAATCTGTATCATCCCTTATGAAATAGGCAGATGTATTTTAATTCCTCAGTGAAAAAAAATTCACTGAAGCCAAATACAGCCTCTCATAACAATACCAGTTAGTACACTGATACAGATAAGACCTATCTGTAGGACACTCACATAATGGGGGAAGCCTGTACTACAAGGGGTCTGCCCTCCAGAAGATAATTGTTTTTTGGGGGGGTCCCCTCTTGTATACCTCACTTTTCATTCTTAAAAGTCTTCACTGTCTTAGCAACAAAATCAGAAGTTAAAATACTAAGTCATTAAATTCTTAAAAAATCCTTGATTTTCTAGATAAGCTCTGCTAATATGCATTACTGAAATGATACCTTTCTGTTTTGTGTATGATACAATCCAAACATAAAGATATAAACTCTGGGTTCCAGAATGTGACTGAAGACAAAAGGATCTTTCAGATCTCAGTGGATTGAGTGCTGGCCTGTGAACCGAGAGGTCATCAGTTCGCTTCCCAGTCAGGGCACATGTCTGGGTTGTGGGCCACACCCCAAGTTGGGAGTGTGTGAGAGGCAACTGATCTATGTATCTGTTGCACACAGCTATTTCTCTCCATTTCTCCCTTCCTTCCTCTGTAAAATAAATAAAATCTTTCAAAAAAACAAACAGAAGATTTCACTTTAAGATCACACACTGTACAGGAACTAAAGTAGGGAAAAAAATAGAAGTTTAGTGCTTAGACTTTTTTTAGGGGGGGGAACCCCCAAACAAACCAGCAATAGCAGCTAAACATTTAAGTCCCATCACATTTCACCTTCAGGAAGATTCTGCTATCATCTTCATTTTATAGATGAGGAAATGGGCACAGAGTAGTTAAGTAATGCCTAGGTCACATAAGAAATAAGTGGAAGAGTTGGGATTCAAATAAAGGTAGTCTGGCTATAAGTACTGTGATAATAATCACACTGTACTATATATACTGTATTGGTAATAGAATAAGTTGCTTTCTTGAACAAATCTACTATTCAAATGGTATGCTTATGGTTCAGCTGGAAAAATTACAGACCAATCACCATCTGGCTGGAACCTTTATTATTTCAAAAATAAGTATCTTATGTAACTTGAGGTGGTTAGAATAGTTATTTCTGGATTACTGTAATAAATGCTTGTCAAAAACACCAATCACCTCAATAACAATATACACTTCATTCATTAAGAACTTTCAAAGTAACTCTTCTGTTATCAAAAAACTTACAAATGTCACAAGGGAGTTAAGTAACAGTCTATGCAGGAGAGAAGGAAAATTCTGCTAGGGGACACTCTAATGAAGCATTCTGCCCATTATATTTTTGATTGATGTCCATAAGTACATAAGGAAAGTGTAGCTTTGTTTTCCTTTTTTTAGTGCTTGGTCTAAGAGGGAAAGCAAGAAATCAAGTCTCGGGAGGAAAACTGCTCCTTCATATCTCAAGTGTAAGCCACAAACAGGCTTTTCTAATAAAAGTGTCAAAGAGATGAGAAAAGCAAACATGTACTCTATTAAATATTTAAATAAATATGCAAAAATTTCAGCAATTATGAACTGTTTGTGTACTTTGAATATTTTATCCTGAGAAGGTATTCTAAGGATATTTTGTTCTAGGATATTCGAAAGTAAAACTTACACACACACATGTATTATGTATCAGGAACTGTCCATATGATTAAAATTCTGAAGTGCCCTAACAATGTCAAACAATGGGAAACCAAACATGATCACATCTACACTATTAAGAGAGAACTAAAAAGGAACACCAAGAAAAAGCATCACTCATGTCTTTGTTTTATGCCCAATGCTTCTGGTAAGTTCAGAAGACAATGTAAAAAGTGATAGCCTCTCACTGGCTCACCACCAATTACACAAGCCCTAAAGTCTAAGTATTCAAAGAAAGACTGCAGGTGATCCTTTACTTCTCTCTGGTCCCTTTACCAAACCCCTGCACCACTCATGACATTACTTGTTAATATTCTGCATTCCAAAATTTACACAAACACAAATTTGCTAATTTTCACTTAAAAAAATTTAAAAGATGAAACACTTAAATTCTCAAAAGTCTCAGTTTTCATACTCATTGAAGCATTTTAGACTTACTCAAACATGAGAATTGATCATGTGTGTGCTCATTTTGCAGAGAACTAATGAATTTATTCTCCAGAAGAAAAAGCAGACCTGAAGCATCACATTACTGGGACATTTCCAACACGACAAGTTCTTATCTTCTAAACTTGAACAAAAGTTGCTTGAACAAACTATTAATGAATACCTGCCCCTATTAAATAAGCAAGATGTCTGATGCATTAAAGAAGTCTGAAGCTGAGTCACTTCACTTCTTTCTGTTAGATCCAGTTGCTAGAATAGTGGCAACTCGCATGAATATATTTAATGTATCCATGTAGATCCCCAGCATCCTAGGAAAAAAGAAAGCCCATTTAAATATGATGCAATTCTAGTAATGAAAAAACTATTTCTTAATCTAGAAAAGAAAAAAAAGCAATGCTGATTATTTGTCCCATGTACGTAAGATGGAAATTTTAAAACAAGATGGCAACTAAGGAAGTCCTGGACAAGAAAATAGTCAAGGTTTTCTTCTGGCAGATTAATCTTTTAAATGGTAAAGGGCAGTTTAAAAATCATTATTCTACTCTCTAAAACTCTATAGCATCTTGTGGGGAAAAAAGTGGGTGCTAGACAATACAAGAATCAAAACAAAACCAAAGAAACACCTTTACAAAATGTGTTAGACACAAGTCTGACATTTTTAAATATAACATAACCCCTTAATGCCCTATCCCCTCCTCACCCAAACAATTACAAACCTGTAAGCATTATAGCTGCATTTTAAAAACTATTACATTTTTAATTAAAAAAAAAATTACTTTAAAAAAATGTGGTTAACACCATGAAACTCAAGAAAATTGTTAAAAAAAAGTAACCTACTTTGGTGGAGAGGCCAAGAAAAGAGAAAAGCATTATTTTATAACATTTAATGTATATTAAATTTGAGTATCACCAAAATAAAATTTTTATACTAAGGTGTTTCCAATTTTTAATAGAACAGGCTTGTTTATTAAACATTTCAAGTCACTTGTGTATACTTTCCAATGAATACCCGACTAAGAAATCTTTTCTTCAGTTCTAAAGTCTATTAAATACAAAAATCAACTGACCTATAAGAGCACCGTAAGACTAATTAAAAATAGTCTAAACTAAGTAACTAAATATTACACTTAGTTACAATACAATCAAATTTCTGTGGATACACAACTTACCAGAGAGACTAGACCAAACAGCCATTGAAATAAAATAGTAATTGTTGTCATTTGAATTCAAAAGATATGTTTAAGTCCTAATCCTTGGTCTCCTGTGCATGTGACCTTACTTGGGAACAGGAGTGGCCTTAGCCTAATATGATCCCTGTCTTCATAAGGAGAGACGGAGATAGACACAGGGAGAACAATGTGTGAAGACACAGGAAGATGGAGGGAGGGGAGCAAAGGGGAAAAAATTGAGACAACTTTAATAGCATAAACAATAAAAAAAAAAATTTCAAAATAGAAAAGAATTAGCCCTGGCTGGTGTGGCTCAGTGGACTGAGTGCCAGCCTGTGAACCAAAGGGTCACCGCTTTGATTCTCAGTCAGGGCACATGCCTGGGTTGCAGGCCGGGTCCCCAGTAGGGGATGCACAAGAGGCAAATAAAATATTTTTAAAAAATAAAAATAAAAAGGAATTAAAAAATAAATTAATTTAAAAAAAGAGGTAGAGATTAGAATGATGTATCTACAAGTCAAGGATGCTGCCCGTAACAAGAAGATGAGAGAGCAGCATGGAAGCGATCCGCCCTTAGAGTCCTTTGAAAGTACCAACCCCAATGACACCTTGATTTTAGACTTCTGGCCTCCAAAATTGCGAGATAATTATTTTCTGTTGTTTTATTCTACCCAGTTTTGTATAATTGGTTACAGCAGCCCTAAGAAATTACAGTCATAAAACAAAATAGGACAAAAGAACACAAATGTCTTTATGTAAGAAAGACATTAAAGACTACTTACGAATTGATGGGATCATATTTTTGAACTCCATACACTGGTACTATTTCTGCACGCTTGATTACTTTCTGCGTATCATACAGAAGGAACATGCTGAAAAGAGCTAATCCACCATAAATTGCCACTGAGTACAGAGTGGCTCCAGCCACAGTGGTAGGTGGAAGAAACATAGATCCTGAAATCAAAATGGAAAAAAAAGTTCTTCTTTAAAAAAAGGACTTTTCTGTAACTGGATTTATAATCAACCTTACTTAAAAAATTTTATTTGGGCCTTGGCTGGTGTGGCTCAGTGGACTGAGTGCCAGCCTGCGAATCAGAGGGTTGCTGGTTTGATTCCCCATCAGGGCATGGCCTGGGTTGTGAGTCAGGTCCCCAGTTGGGGGCATGAGAGAGGCAACCACACACTGATGTTTCTTTCCCTCTCTTTCTCCCCTCTTCCCTTCCTTAAAAAATAAAAAGAAAAAAGAAAAGAAACATAACTAAAATCTTTAAAAAAATTTTTATTTGGTGTACTGCCAGACAGGAAAACATCTGAGTACAAGCACGGTCTAATTTTATGTACATTCAGTTCAAAACCCATGAAACTCATTTCTGCAAAGGGTCACTCGCCCCCATCACAGGAATGCTGTTGCAGGAGAGTAACCTTCCTGTGCTCCATGGCACCTTTGCCATTTTAGATGTGTTCGGTAAAAACAACAGTAATGGTTTGCCATGATGCCAAATATGAAAATCCAGTCTAATTAGCATGTATCTTTTAAACAGCTTTTAAAACTGACTAAATATATTCCCTCCAGTAGGACAGCTGAGTACATAAGATGATTTTGGGATACCATGAACCAAGAACCAAGTGTCAAAGCAGTGGCTTACCCAGTGAGGACACAAAGACGAGGCCCAGGCCCACTCCCAGGGGTGCTCCCATGTTCAGAAACTTCTCACTCGGTGCACACATGGCCACGGTGGAGAGGCCTCCTACGATGCCTGCTGTATACCACGCAGCTCTGATGAGAAGAGGCCCCCCCATTATCGTCAGAGGAGCTACCACCGCGCCCATCACACCTGGAGAAAGAGCAAGTGGTCACTTTTTAAAAATTACCACCAAAGGGAAAAAACAGCACTTCTAATTAACATGCTATTTGAACATATTATACCTTATTGGTAAATACTACGATTACAAAAAGTCTTTCCCTTATTTAAGTAATACTACCCCCAAAATTCTACAACCAAAATTTGGGGCCATCCAGATTATAAAATCACAACAGTAACACTATTACAATCAGTCATAATCACAAGCAGAAACACTAATCTAAGAATTGAGATTAAAATAGTTTAAAATGCCTAGCTCAAGGTCCAATCTCCTGCTGCTAAAAGGAAACAAAGTAAAATGAGAAAATGAGCCCATTATACTAATCTTAAAATGTAGAAACTTCAAGGACAGACACTACTTAACCTTAACAAAGGAAACCTTTGTTACCTTAACAAAGATAAAAAGAACTCAGCTGAAAAATAAATCTTAGGTAAGGCATTATTTCAGTGGTGAGTAGAGCAAGTTACACTTTTCTTAAACATTAAATGTGGGTAGTTTAACTCATGGAACAGGCACAGAGCTATCTTCATACTGAAATTTCAATACTAGAGTGTTTCCTATGCAAGAAAAATATTTCTAGATAAAGCAGTAAGGTAATTAATTGTGTTTCATGATGATGAGTTAAAAAAATATTTTTTGCTCTAGGAAAGATACTGGATAAAAATTCCTGTGTATGATATTTCTGTTAGGATTTCTGTCAGTTTTACATTTGGCAGCAAAATTTTTATCAAAATGTTTAAGGAGACTATTCAGAGATTTTTCAATGATACTTTCTGATAAAAATCTTAAGTGGTAATAGATGTTTTCTGCTTAAGGACAAATCAATTATAAAACTAACAAGGAGAGCTCATTATTATTGTGAATGAAACTGGCATTCAGCAAATTGGCACAGCCATGATAGAAAACAAGTATGGAGGTTCTTCAAAAAGAATTATAGCTAGCAATCGCACATCTGAGTTTCTATCAAAAGAAAACAACATAAAGATCTCCTAGAAATAGCTGTACTTTAGCCAAGATATGAAAAAAGCGTCCAATAATGGATGAATGGATAAAGATGTGGCGTATATATATACAATGGAATATTATTCAGCCATAAAATAAAAAATCTTGACATTTTTGACAACAGAGATGACCTTGAGGGATTCTGCAAGGTGAAATAAGTCAGACAGAGAAAGACAAATATATGCTCTGACTTATACGTGGAATCTAAAAAGTCAAACTCAGAGAAACAGAGAGTACCAGGAGTACTCTAATGGTGGTTACCAGGAGTTGGGAGGGGGATGGGGGAAAATGGGGAGATAATGGACAGAAAGAATAAATTTCCAGATAAGATTTACAAGTTTGAGGATCTAATGTACAACACAGTGACATTAAAATAAAAAACAAAGAGAGACCAGTGTTGAACTTTCCCTGGGCAGACAAAGCCAGTTTAGTCATACAAATAAAGCTTAATTTAGATTATTTTGCAAAATTAACTTGATCTCAGTCATTTCTTGCTATGCCTGTGGAAACCATAAGCAACATTTGAACTGTTTCCCAAGACTGATATGAGGTAACCACAGAAATTCTATTAAAACCAATCAATGTGTAAAGAACAAGTAGCCACTGCTTTCTTATTATGCAAATTACTTTATAACAATATACCTGAGCCTCATTCCTTATTTTTGGTTAAGTGTTCCTGGTTTGCAGACTGTAATTTTGGTGTGTGTATGTATGATAACACTTTTAATAATTACTACTTTGGTAATTCATTGGTTTTACGCCTGTTATTTCTGAATTTTTGACAGTGATTGTAGCTAATGAAACTGTGTCATACACTTGAATGTTGCTAAGAAAGTAGATCTTAAATATTCTCACCATAAAAAAAGAAATGGTAAGTATGAAATGGAGGTGCTATAATGGTAATAATTTTGCAATATATAAATGTATCAAATCAATATGCTGTATATCTTAAACTTATACAATATTATGTGTGAATTACATCTCAATAAAGCTGGGGGTATAACACAATTAGAGTACTTTTTCAATGAGCATATGAGCATTTCAGTTAATTCTTGCAAAATATCACTTGGTCCTGATTGTGACCACAACCATGCTAAACATGTGGATAAAAAATGAATATGGAATGTATTTGGGTGTTAATACTGGGTCAAAAGCCAGCTCTGATGTTCCTTTGATGCTGTGAGTAATTGTCCTTGGGTGATCCAAAACCCCTTTAGGTCCCATCTCAATCATGCCGGTGAATAAAAGAAGAGTACAGGACTTGAAGAAATAAGGTTGGGGTGTCAGTCTTGACTTTGGCACTCCTGGTGCATGACCTCACCCAGCCTCAGTTTCCTCAATTAGGGAATATGAACATGCTAATGCCTGCATAGCTTCCTAAGATGTTTATGAAGAATAAAACAAATTTTGAACAATTGAAAAAGTAAAAAATTGGCCTTCATACTGTGTAGTAATGGGTTAACACAGCAGGCCAAACGCTATCTTTACAAAGGCCTGATTGCCAGATAAATCCTTGACTCTTCTGAGGACTTGGCACTTGAACCATATTCTAACTAATAGGGTTAGACTATTTGTGCAAAGACTGTGAGCTATTCTGAAGACCTGCCTTCCTTCTGGGAGTCTGGTTTTTGATAGTTGCTAGACAGGTGCCTGTACAATCAGCTTTCAATAAAAACGTTGGACACTGAAGTCTCCACTTGGCTTCCCTGGGCTGAGAAATCACTATGTTACTGCACTTTTTGCATTATCAGTGTGTCCCCTCAGAGGAAGGAGAGCACCAAAAGACTGTTTATTTCTCCAGACGCCAGAATCTGCCTGTACTTCCACATCTGAGGACATTTTGTTCATTGCTTTTAGAGAGGGAAAGGGAGAAAAGGAGGGAGAGAGGGAAGGAGGGAGGGGGAGGGAAAGAGAAAAAATATCAACTGGTTGCCTTTTGCATGCATCCCAACTGGGAACTGAACCCACAACCCAGGTATGTGCTCTGACCAGGAACTGAACCCATAACTATTTGGCATACAGGACAAATGCTCCAACAAACTGAGCTCACTTTCGTTGTAATAAACCTTAGCTCTGAATACGAATCAATCACTGAATAAATTGGTGGTCTTGGGGACCCCACCCCTGCAACACATAAAATATCCTGACTCAAGTAATTTATGTGCTATGATATCAGATTAAAAGAGGTTATCTAATGTAAACCAAGTAAAAATGCTTCTCTAAGCTTGAATTAAAATTACAAAGCTATTTTAATTCAATTCAACAAGTGACTATCTACTATTAATCGAAGATAAAAAGACACTAAACCTGTTTTCTCAAGGAACTCAGTGTCTAAAATGGGAAACAGGTGCAGAACTCTGCTCATGGGTCAAGATACTACAATCCAGAGATTTAGAAACATAAATGTAAATGTTAAAACTCAGATGGTGAGGATGTTGGTGTTTCAATGAAAGAACACATTCTTAGCAAATACATATACTATTATTTTGAATAATTTTTTTTCTTCTTAAAAGCAGGTTATTGGTCCTAGAAGATAAGGGACCATCTCCCTCCAAATCATGAATGTTTTGTCCTGTAAAGTTTCAGGGAGAGTATCTGTGGTTGAATAACCTCACACCAAATGAGAGAGACTTGAAAACCAGGGTTGAGAAATCATGCTGTCTCATATTTACCAAAGTAAGGATAGCACGTGAATAATACAAGTGACACATTTCACACCAGAAATTTGTTGTTACTGAGCGCCAAAAACCTAATTTCCATTTACTAACATGTTAAAACATTTCAGAGTCTGTCTCCCTGAAAGTTTAAGGGAAATGCTTATAAAATGTCTTATTTTGTGGTAAAGAATATACATCTTTAAGAAGCATTTTTCTTTCTGGGTCTGGCTAGTTCTTTACTCAACCCAGAGACAGAATATCTCAAGATATGTGAGGTGGAGAACTTCATCTAAACTTTCAAATATCTGCTTTACAACTATTAACAGAAAATTCACAACATATACCTAAAAGGGTATTAGAATGGTCCTGTAATAGAAGGGTTGCCCTGCCCAATGTAACCCTGTACCAAGAACTATCTTAATACTGACCAAGCATCAGACACAAATGCGCATTTCCAAAAATCTTTTGGACTGCTTTCTTTCTTCAAATGCTCTACTGCAAAAACCTCCTCTCCTATTCTTTCACATGTCTTAGCTCCTTCCTCTTTTCACCATTTATTTTTTTAAACATAATAAAAAACAATTCTTAAGTCATGTGTATCAGATCTGAAATCCTCTTAGTATTAGACAAACTACATAAAAGGAAATCTCTGCGTATACTAGACTGTCAAAGGAGGCAAGTGTAATACTGAGGATGTCCATGGTTTCAGTATATAACCAGTAGTTAAGTGCAGAAAATTATAAGCATTTTCTAAACATGGGGGTTAATTAAATTATGTACAAAGCATTCACAGTTGTGAAGAGCAACTAAAAAGGTGGTATTCAAGACTTACTTAGGAACAGTTGAAAATCAGAACATACCAGAATGTAGTAACCAAGCAAGATGCTTTGGGCCTGGGCTCTGGTCATATGGTATTGATTGTACCAGCATTCCAGCTCCAATCATGGCTGCAAATGTCGCACCAATTGTCTGAAAGATACATATTGCTAAGAAAAATCAAGTCTTATACAGCAACAAAGTAGAAATCCTCAAGTTCTCATTTCAGTTAGTCCCTCAAATAAAGCACGTTTACAAAGATAAAAGATAATAAACGGAATCCTGAATTTTTCTAGCACATTAAAGGCCTTTATTTCAGTTTGGCCAAGTTAGCAAGAGTGCCCCTACTACCATCCGTAAAGTTTTGTAGACAGTTTCAAGTAAATGAGTTAAGCTTTGACTAACAACAGTATCTTTTAAAAACTTTATTCTTTTTAGACAAAGGTTTAACAAAATCCCTGTAAGAATCCCAAAATAATAATTTTTAATTATATCTATTTTAGTATAACACAAATAGTATTTAAAAGTATTAGTCATGATATACTAATGAGCATATATATATAGCACATTGCCTTGAACTCTGTATTTGCTAAAAGAAAACCCGAAAAATAGAAGCACATGGAAAAGATGAGAAATAAGACTATGTTTCTGTCCTCCCAGTTTTCTGGTTGACTTGGTCCTCTTCCCCTTTCTTTGCCTTAGACTTCGGACTGTTATGATATTTAAAGATTCCTTGTGTATATAACAAGGAAGAATGTATGTAGTGAAAGAAAGATGATAATGAATGTTAGGGAATTTAAAGGAGAAACTGCACACTTGTTGCCTTTGTACAGAATCAAGTAGCAGGTATTTTGTTTGGCCAAATACTCAAAAAAATTCAATGTGAATGCTCTTAGCTGAGAAGAATTTTTCTCTAGGTGTGAATAATCCCGTGTGACACACCAGGCCTACCTCCTCATCTGCGTTATCTGTCTGACATAGAGGCATCTGGATGTGCAACCTCTGATGTAATACAGGTAAACAGAAGTGCTGTTTTCATTCAAACTAATATAGAAAAGCACACTGGCTTCCATTATACCATTTTCCAATGGAGAAACAGTTACTAAAAACTACTTCATACATTTCTGTGCAAAGCACTTTCAGGAATATTTATTACAATTACATTTTTTTTCTTTAAGGTCCTCCGTGATCCAGGTCCATATTTTGCCTTTTAGCGTTCCTGACTCTATGTTACAGCTGCACTGACCTAGTAGGGCTGCAAACATGCCCCGGGTTCATTGTGCGTAAGAATAAATTCTTCCTGTTTGTTTGACTTATTCAAGGATTACCTCCTTGTCTGGGAACTTTTTATGGTAGGTCCCCTGCCTGCCACAAAGTGTCAGATGCCTCTCCTCTGTTCCAAAAGCACTTAGTACAAACTCTGACATTATCTGTGTGTATGTCTGCCACCCTCCTCCCCGAAGTTACATCTTCATCTCTGCAGACTCTGTCTGGCTTTCCAAACTATTTTATTTAAGTGATGAGTAAATAGCACGTGAGAGTAATCTTATGCCCACACAGAGTTGACAATTTGGCCCATTCACAAAACTCCTTTGGAGTCTTATTTTAGGGGCTAAACTCTTGAATATTTTCATACAGCCATGTTTACTTTATTACAAAAAGCACTAATTATTTAATACTGATTAAAACTGACATTCCTGGTGAGAATGCACCATGCTTATTCTGTGTCTTCATGAACCTCTGAGCTAGCCAATTCATGACACCCATCTGAGAAGTGATATCCTAAGAATACCACACTGTCCAAATGACTATCCTACTATAAATGGTTCTCCTTTTGGAATACTCAACATAATGGAAGTACACAAATTTGGAAGTTAGATGGATTTGGGTTACCTGTGGGGAGAATTGGTTTGCCATGGGAAATCTCTAAGTATTACATAAACTCTCCCATTTTTCCTTCCTCTCCAGTCTCACACTCATTGCTCTAGTTCACATTATCATCCTTCATCTCAGATCTTGCAAAGGCTCAGTTAGCATGACTGCTTGTCTCTTCCACATTAGTTCTTAATACTGAAATACCCATCAGACTTTTGCTATGCCAGTATCTGTAAAGGCCCCTCACTGCTTAGGCACTGTCCTCATCTTAGCAATCATATATCCCTTTTGTAATTGCCCTCAAATACTTGAATAGAATTGTAAAGTCACTTTTCATGACTACCTCCTTTGCTCAAGCTGTCTTGCAAACTTGGGCTATCCCTGTCCTCTCCTAAAATAAAAAACGCTAGGCTTCAATGGCCCTGATGAAATAATATTGTCCTTCATGGAACCTCCGTACTAGTCCAAGACAAAAACAGTCTTTGAACTGCTTTTAAACTTTCTACTTCTTATTGTATATCCTTTACCACTTACTTCAGTTCATCTCTTCAACTAGAGAGTAGAAAAATAGGCACCACATTCTAAATCAGTTTTGAAATCTAGTAAAATAACAAATGTATAAGAAACATTCATTCAATATACCTTATGTAGGGTCAAGAAAATTCAGAATAGTTGCAGCACTGCACTATTCTACCTTTAAGAATACAGAATGCTTTGGTTTTGGGTCTGCCTTATTTTTAGTAAATAGCTGTAAGATATATAAAATAGAGGCTGTTTGATATCTGCTGCTAGATAAACAGCACATTCCTGTAAGTTTGGTCTCCAACTCCTTTGTTACTATAAAATACTCAACAAAGAACAATAGCTGACGTACCTCACAATGTACTTCCTACTTTGTCTCAGCTGTACTAATAATTCATTTATTATTTGAACAAAAACCTGTTTAATTTAGTAAGATATTCTTTCCATTTAACACCCTGCCCCCATTTTTTGTTTAATCTTTTGCTATGCAGTGGAAAAAGTAAACAAAACAAGGTGACTTACCACCCAAGAGCCTCTCATCATGAAATTCATGAGAATAGGAGTTCTGCTCACTGCCAGGGCAGACAAAGCTGTTAAACCAATACTTCCTGCTAAGTACATATAGGTGGAATGAATTCTATCCTTCACATACTGGGGCCAAATTCTGTTAAAAAAACAAAAACAAAAACAAAAAACACAAACCCCAAAAAACAAAACTCAATCTGGTTAATTTATAAGATTCTGGATGTAAATTCTGGTTGAATCAGGTTAGCTGAGAAGCCTTGGGAAATATCACCTTACTGCTCTAAATCTTATTCACCTCATTTATCATGGAAATGATGCATACATTGAAGCTACCATAAAAAATAAATTATAGGTGACATATAAGCACTTGGCTCATATACAAAGCAACATATTTTCTCCTTACTTGAACACATAGAACCTTGAAAAAAGATTTTTCTTTAGGTTTGAATAACTGTATATTAAGAAAACATAAGAGTCTATCTTTATTCACATATATTCTACACAGTTGGAAGACTAGAAATAAAACATTCCAAAAGTGGCAAAAGATAAGGATGAGAAGAATATTGGAGACTTTAAGGCTACAATTGTTTGGAAACAATTTACTTACACAGCCTTTTCAATTGCTCCAATCTCACTTGACATTCCCAAGCCATAGTAGCACAATGCTCCAAGACCAACAGCAGCCCCTCCAGCAATAAACCATCTTCCCATCTGATCAACTGTAGAACACAGGGGGAAATGCAGGTTAATACTGTCATGTTTTGAGTAAATTAAAATGCTGGTGGTAAGCTGTTCCCAATATTTAAGTGAGGGAAGTCAAACTATATAACATACTTCTTGGTAACAGCCATAATTAATATATATGGGGATACAGAAATGGCCTTAAAATTAGGGGACCAATTAAAAAAAAAAAAAAGAACACTGCTGAAACAAAGGTGTAATCATCAGTACAAAAATATTCAGACTTGATTAATCTTTAATCTCATTCCAACAAAAGTGAAGGCAGTATATCTGTAGATGCAGGAAGACTTCTGTGATATGTTATTTTACTGCTAAGAGTCTGGGGTATATTCTCATGACAAATAGAAAGTAAAGATGAGAAAGAAACGTTAACAGTTATATCACATTTGTCTAAAGTGCAATTAGCAAAGATGGTATTTTATATGGAGTCAAAAAAAAAAAAAAGGAACCAGAGAAAAATGCAAAAATGCAGTCAGTGTTTATGTAGCTAAATTAAGGGAAAGGGTGTTCTTATTTTAGTACTGGGAAAGAAACAAATAACTTATCAACTCTAACTGAATGAAGGTATTTATAAAGACCATCTTACACCCTTTAGTCTAAATTTGTTCACTAGGAATGTTACTATTCTGTGGCCGTATCATTTATATAATTTGGTTTCTAAAGCTAACTTGGTGATTAGAAATACCCTGAGGGATACCAATTAGGCATCTCTCCCACTATAATATATGAACATTTTGCAAGGTGAAGAAGAAGCAGTTTTCTTTGACTGGCTTTGGGTAGATTAACAATCTAGCTTCTGAACTTGCAAAGCTGAAATCCAAACTGTGAAACAAATGGGTTTGCTTCCTGAGGGGCCCTATAGGGGCAGCCAGTTAAGAGGATCCTTTGTGAATAGCTAGGCTTTTATTAACATAGATGTTCTGATGATTTATTGCTGACCTGAAATATATACAAATATATGCTTGAATAAAGAGTCTATGCAACTTCAAATGAACTTCCTTAACAGACTATATATAAAAATAATGGTGAAAGTAACATTTTTCACTGAAAGAACTGTGCCGGGGAACCACTAAATCCAGTGTTAAATATCATTTTTTTGGGGGGGGGGCATCAGATCCCTAAGAATGGTGAAAATGTTGGCCTTTCTTCCCAGAAAATGCACATATACATAAATTTGCATATATTTTTACCAAGCTCTTTATGGAACTCATTTAAAAACTAAAAACTAACACTTACTTTTAAATATTTTTTCCACTGATGGTTCCAGTGCTGCTTCTTTGAGTTCTTGGCCAGTTCTCCCACGTCGGGTCCCAATTCTTGTCTTGGTGGCATATTCCTGATATACATGAAAACAAAGACACACATCATCCACAACAAAACAGAATGTTAATGACAAAATGAAAACTGGCTCTCGTTACACTAGAAAACTAAAGTAATGCGGTACTTTTTAAACATGTAATTCTACAATGCAAATATGTTAGTCAATTTAAAAAATTAAATGAAGACCCCATTTGTGCTCTATTTTCAAAGTGACTAATACAACTTAACTTCTTAGTTTAAGTTTGAAAACTGTTTATTTCATAAACTACAGATGTTATTTATATCTTTATAATTATATTTAAACACTAACTTTTTAAAAACATGCATTCAATATTAGCTACATTCTTTTCCATCTGGGAAATGGGCTCAAGAAAGGTTCTTTCTTCAACAAAAAGCCTAAGGGAGGAATGACTACTTTTCAACAATGAAAACAGTTAATAGGAAAAACACTGTCTCTTTTAGATTTTGTATATTTCTTTATCCACCTCACATTTCAAAATTTGTTTTTCTGCTTTGAATGTCTCAGGAAATATCAATTATCAAAGGAAATGGGTTTCTCTCTAACCTGACAGATCTTACTATTTCTTAAACAAGAGCTGAAATGACATTTAGTAATGTCTATTGGCTAGCTGGTAATAATCCTAGTTCTTAAGCTTTTGATTATAGACTCCATGAATCTATGCTACACCATAGTTCTCAATCCCTTACAAACTATTCTAAATGAGAAACTTTACAGCTGTAAGAGCTGTAAAGAAAGGAAAAATTATAGTTCCTTTTCTCTTTCACATGAGACAAAGATGAAACAGAATGATACAAAACTGGTGGGGAGAAAGGGCTAATTTGGGACATTATCAGGGCTAATTGCTCCAATAAATGACTAATGGTAGAATAGAGAGCTTCATACTATTCTCTACCCACCCCTCCACCCTCCCACAAAAAAAAAAAAAAAAAAAAAAAAAAAGGGTCACAGGGACAGAAAGAGACATTATAAAAACATTCAGATTCTTTACCCTGCTGGGTGTTAAAAGCCATTGATTCTTCCTGATAGAATTCCTCACAACGGGGGAGGCCTTGGTGAAAGCTGGGTGGAAAATCCGGGAAGGTAGTGTCTGGAGACACACAAGTCTTGCGGCCAGCATGGTAGTGCACCAGGTTTACCAAGCTGATCTAAAATGCTAGTTAGACACAAAGACAAAAAACAAAACAAAACAAAACAAAAAACAAAAAAACACTCCATAAACCAATTGAGAAAATGACATGGGGAAATCCAGAGATAAGAAAGAGCCAATCATCTTTCAGCAGAAAAGATGGAATAAAGTGACCTTTTAATGTTAATGATAACCCTCTGCTTGTCTCCTGTTACATTCAAGAAATCCATCCCACAAAACCCAGTTTGAGATGGATGACCAGATTAGGTTTGAACCGCAGTTTACACAATAGTAAAACATACAACTATGTAAGTTTTGTGGCTAATGCAGAGTGAAAGGCATAAGAGAATTTACAGGGTGTGTAATTGCTTTTATAAATGTGGTTTTTACTTAAGAATTAAACCAGCATTCAATGGGACAATTTAAAAGGAGACTATGGACACTTGAGTTAGGGTGCTGAACACACAGTACGACATACAGGTGACGTATTATAGAACTGTACACCTGAAACCTATATAATTTTACTAACCAATGGCACCTCAATAAATTCAATACAAAAACAAACAAAACCCCAAAAAGGAGAATAAAAACCCTCTGTAGTATAACTTTTGAGCTGAGGAAAAATGTCATCCAAGGAAGAGATGAATAACTCTTCAAGGTCATACTGTATTGCAAGGTTAAAAGACATCAATGAAAACCAAACAAATTTCTGGCAAATGTGCCAAAAATTACTTCTCTTCAAAGTATGATATAAAATATATCAAGCTATTGAAACCCTCCTGGGATGCATTTTAAAATGTAGATTCCTGAGTCTTACTCTGATCCTAATGGTTCAATCTCTAGGTCTCTATGTAGGGGACGAAGGAATATGCATTTTAGCCAAAAGCCCCAAAGCAAAGAATCCTTGCTTAAAAATATCTGCCTCAGTGCACTTCCAACTTTTCCACCGGATCTATGTACACCAGGAGTACAACACTGGGCATCTGTCCTTTGGGAAAATACCAAGTTCATCTAGAACTTTCATGCCATTGCATCATTTGAGCCTCCAACTGCGGCGTATCTCCCTCAGTCCCTAACAACAGACTAGAAACAGGCCCAGCCCAGAGTGGCTTCCGCGACGCCTAACAAAACAGAGTGGGAATCTTGCTTCTGCTTCTGCTGTTGGACCTGTGAGACTCAGGTTCCTCAGTATAAAATAAATACTCTCTCTATACGCTTCTGTGACCATTACCAAGCTCAGGCGCCTGGTCCTCGAGGAAGTTCTCCCAGCCCAACAGACTCTCAAGAGAAGCCGGCGGAAAGCCTCCCAAAGTCAACGCACACTCTACATCTCCGCCTCAGGCACCCCCTTATGTGCCGGGCGACGGTTGTGCGGCCGGGCGACTGCGAAGATTCAGCACCTCGCTGTCTAGGCAGAAAACGGCAGCGAGGGCTAGCCCCTGCCTGCCTACCCCCGGGCCCCAGAGACGCCGCCCCCATTCAAAGGGTCACCCGCAGGACGATCCTAACGCGCCACCAGGCTGTGACGCAGCCAGCAGCGCCGGCGTCTCCAGTCCTCCGCCGGGGCACCCAGCGGGCTCCCGCGGCCTGACTGAGGAACACGGCGATCACCAGTGCCTGCTGGGTCGGGAGAGCGGTACCTCAGTCCCCGGTCACCTCGACCGCGCAGTTCCCCCTTCCGGCACAGCGAAACGCAGACGCGCACACCTAGGCCGTCCACCCTCCCCTTACCGTCTGCGTCGCCACGGCCCTTCCGGCTCGCTACGTGACGCAATGTCCGGAGAAGCGGCCGACACTACGAACAGCCAATCGTGAGCAGATCTCTGACAGAGGACAGACACAGTCGGGAGGAGGGGTTGCGGGCTGGAGGCGCAGGGCCTCTGGAAGGTCAGTGAGACCGTTATAGGCAACATGCATTTTGGATGTGAGCAGATAAGGTACTTTGGTCATCTTCTCTATTGGTAGCGGAGCTCTTCGTTTTTGTCTTAACAGTTTCACTTGCAGCAGTTACAAAAATTACTCAAAAGTTGGAAGACAGTGGTGTGAGAACTTAAAATTATTCTGTCGCCCTGATCTGTAAAGTGAGGAGCCACTTCTCTGCTATTCGATGAGGTTATTTTTGTTTTCTTTCACTCTTAACCCATTAAATATTTACTGAGGCTGTAGCTGAGTGAAATGCTTGCTTTCTCTGATGGCCTTCAGGCTAATAGCTCCTACAATAATGCTAATTTAACTAGAAGAATTCTGCTTCAGGATTAAGCAGCCACTTGTCAATTTAGAGGTACTGAAATTTGCACAAAGTAATGAATGTTTTCCAAAGATTTACGGGAGTCTCTAGAACCTGTCCCAGATCATCAGGTATCAACTCACGGATCAGGAACAAAGGTGATTTTTTTGTTGTTGTCGTGTTTTGTTTTTATTTTTGTAACACAAGGAGAGAGTAGGCAAAGGAGCAGGGCTTAACTAGGTCCCCAAAACAGCTTCTGAGGCACATATCTGTCTGGATTTGCTTTGAAAAGACAATTTCAGTACGTGTTTCAGGAAAATGCCTGATGTCAATGTCAGTGCAAAGAACTTAAAATGAAAACGTGTTTGCCACACAGGGATCCCACAAGAGAGAAAAAACAAACCTGTTTGGAAAATGCTGTATGTAACACAAGGGCAGCTCTAAAGATGCATAACACAGAGAACCTTCCAGGAATCAAGTTGGCTACAACTTCACGAAATTAAAACCATCGAATAACATTTCCAACCGTAGAAGTGCTGACTAAAAAACAAAACAAAACACCCCCCAAAAACAAAGGATTTTACATAAAGAAGAGGTTCACAAAATACACAGGTGGGCATCCCCCCAACACCTGCCTCTTATTTCTGTTCTAAACAGATTTCATGGACTGAAGCAGACATGCAACCTGTGGGGGGAGGTGGCTCAAATCTCTGGAGGACAGAGGCCCTGCTTACTGCGTGCCCACCCGCCTGCCAGGCTTCTTTTCTGGTGCCTTCTACTGGTGCCTGGGACCCAACCTTTCCTCTGGTCTCCAAATACACCTCCTCACTCAGCCAGCAGCCACCTCCCCCCACTACCCTCTACCCCCAACCTCAGCCTTTCTGCTGCCTCAAGCTGTTGCAGCCAGCAACTTGGCCAGTACCCCTTCCTTGACCACATTGATGATCTCTGGGACGTGCAGGTACATGGTGGTGCTGCCGCAGATGTAGCCCTTGGGCATCCACCAAATAAATTGTTCCTGTCCCTGGATGTGCAGATCGCCTCATGCATGCTGATGTTCATCCAGTTGTCACAGCTTACAAGCTTCCCATTGTACATCACCCTATTTTTAAGGTCCATCAACACAGGGTGATCCTGAGATGCCTTCAACAGCGACAACCAGAGCATGGTGTAAGCAGGGAACTGGTCCACTGGACACTTCCACCTCCAGTGCACATGCCAGGAACAAAGGGATTTGGATTTAGAAATTTTATGCTCTTCGTTGGATCCCTTTCGACACCTAGCTGTCTAGCCGTCTACTGCTCACACCAACCTCTTGTCTTACCCCTCCTCCCTTTTCTTGACAATGGAAGATGCCTGAATCTTGAGCTCTCTTAAGATGGATTTGTGGGGGCCATAAAACACTCTCATCTTCTAGAGCTAGGCCTTCTTGATCAGCAAACCTTTTCTTACTCCAAATGTTACCAGAAAGGGAACCTGGCCTTGAGCGGTTCTTCCTATGGCTGGCTAGTAGTATGTGGGTTCTTGATTTTGTGCAGGAAACACTTCACAGCATGAGTCCAGGTGATTTCTAGAGGATGTTTATTACAGCTGGAGACAGAGAAACAAGGAAGGGCCTAGGATGCTAGATGAGAAAATGAGCTTAGGCTGGGCTAATTTGGATCACTAAGAAATCAGAGAAAAAGGGGATTTGGGGACATGTTCAAGGGGTTAGCCTGGAACAAGCTGCTGCTGCCCATTGTTCCCTGGTTGCAAGCCTTGTGAGGTCCCTTAAAAGGAGATTCATGCCTGCGGGGAGAGAAGTGTGTGTTTGATGGGGGAGGCATGGGCGTGCTACTGGAAGGAGAGCACAGGCACTGGGACCTTCATTTTGAGAGTTTTTAAAGGCTGGGAGTCTAAGGGAAGTCTTAGGAGAGAATCTCAGTAGATGTGCCAAAATGAGATTTATTCCTTTAATTTCATTTGTCCTTGGGCGTAGTTGGCAAATGGCACTAAGTGGATTTCTGCTATCTGTCTCCCTGAGTAGGGTGATTTAAGCTATGTACCCTCTGGTTGGCGAGAAGTACAAACCACTTACTCTTAAGTGTTCTTGATGTAGGGAAGATAGGATTTACTAGATGGTTGCAAACCACTTAACATCTAGATTTACTATGTGGCTGCGAACGGGTTATTTAACTATCTGCCTTAGCTTCCCTATTCTGCATGTCCTGGCTTACTGGCCTGTCTTATAAATTCTGATGTATTGAATATTGGCTTTTTAAAAAAATATATTTTATTTAATTGTTTTTAGAGAGAGGGTAAAGGAGAGAGAAAGAGAGGGAGAGAAACATCAGTCAGTTGTCCCTTGCATGCTGTCAACTGGGGACCTGGCCCACAACCCAGGTGTGTGCCCTGACTGGGGATCAAACTGGTGACCTTTCAGTTCACAGGCCAGTGCTCAAACAACTGAACCACACCAGCCAGGGCTGAATATTGGCCTTTCTTTTGAAGCATCAGACACATGAACCTTGTACCTGTAACAAGGCTCACTTTATACCAAGCACTGTCCTAGAAATAAAGAGTAGTCACCTACTTACCCACAGTTTCACTTTCTACAGTTTCGTTTACTTGCGGCCAACCTTGGGTCTGAAAATATTAAATAGAAAATTCCAGAAATAATTAGTAGGTTTTAAATCCCATGCCATTCTGAGTAGTGTGAAGAAATCTTGCACGGTCCTACTCTGTCCTGTCCAAGATGTGAATAATCCCTTAAATCCAGTTTCTCTGTTGTATCTTGTTACTGACCCCTCCTGCTCAAGGTTCCAAACCAGGGTCCTTCTGCCCAGTGCCACTTGTACCAATAGAACAAGGCAGTTCAATAAAGCAGAGCAGAAACTCTATTATTTGATCAAGGAATGAACTCATTTTCTAACAGCACCTTCTCCCTGACTGGGAAGAAGCCCTCTATATAGAGGAGCCCTTTATATTGGCTGTGGTGTGGAATGATTAGATTATTTTAGGCATGCATATTCTGTTGTACTCAACCCTTTTGCACATGGTCTTTTTTGCACTCAATGCCTCATTGCCATCTTGGTTTTTGCATTTGGCACTTTGGTCTTTTCTGCTGGGAATCCTTTCCAGTTTCTGTCAGCAAGCCCAGTTCATGACATAGTTTAGGTATTGAGAAACATTAGGGTCTTTTGGATGATAACCCAGTGATATCCATGCTGTCTTGGTTTTCAGATTGCTCATCAGGTATTTTGAGGGAAAAAGGGAGACCATGTTCACATAATTTTACTACCCTATATTATAATTGTTCTATTTTACTAATTATTGTTGTTAATCTTTTGCCTAATTTATAAATAAAACTTCATAATTTCTATGTATGTATATGGAAAAAACATTGTATATTATAAGGTTCAGTATCACCAGGCATACATTGGGGGTCTTAAACATATTTTCAGAGTATAAAGGGGGACTACTATAAAGAAATGACTAAAACACATCTAGTACCATTGTCTTGGCCAAATAAAGTCCTTGTCCTTAGGTGCTTACTTTTTGTTGGAGACAAAAAGTTTGGCAGTGATAGATGCTCTAAAGAAAAGCAAAGCTATGTTAAGCCCTAGAGGGTTTCTATTTTAGATAAGGTGATTAACAACATGTAAAATTCATGAACTTCATGTCATAAGCTATTGTTAATTGTGATTTATGATAGTCTTCTAAACATGTAAATCTTTACAAACAAAGGTTTGCATTTTAGGTGAGTAATAAAACAGTTTGGCAGCCTACAGTTATTTCTTTATTCTAAAAGTGGCAATTTTTCTAAAACACTGCAGAAAAAATTTTTATTTAACATATTGAACAGATCCAGCATGATCAACTTATCTTACTTAAAATCTTCACCCAGTTTGATTAGCTAGCAAATAGGCATGAGACATGATAGAAGTTAGGAAAATTCCTGGGCAAGTGGAATGAAGAAACAGACAAGAAAATTAAACAAGGGCAAATAGTTTGAGCAACTTACAGCCAGCTGGTGAATCATAAGACCTTATCTCCCCTAACCAAGGACACTTGAGAGTAAATGGTTTATACCTCACCTCCTTAACCAGAGAATACATAACCTCCCTGGCCATAAACCATAGGTGTCCAGGGAAAAGAGGGATGCTAATGCAAACTGAGGGGTTAACACCAGAACAAAGGGAATGGGATTGGGAAGAGGATGCACAACTCTCCTTTCAGCTCCCCTTCCCCTAACTCACAAGGGAAACAGCATATCTGTACCTTCCCCAGGAATTTTCCCCTCCTAAATTCCCATGTTTCACATATATAAACTTGCTTCTTTTTTTTATTTTTAAAAAAAGATTTGTATTTATTTTTAGAGATGGGGAAAGGAAGAAGAAAGGGAGAGAAACATTGATGTGTGAGAGAAACATCCATAGGTTGCCTCTTGCATGCTCCCAACTGGGGACCTGGCCAGAAACCCAGGCATGTGCCCTGACTGGGAATCAACCAGTGACCTTTGGGTTGCAGGCCAGCGCTTAATCTACT